AGAATCCCAAATGACCACGTGCTTGTTATGTCTTATGTGTCTTAGGAGAAACCCAAGACATAAGAAGCAATAGTGTGGCCGACTTTGATTTGGATCAAATTCTGACTATAATTAAACTCTATCAGATCCAGTTTGATGATTATTATTATCTATGATTATAAGTAAAAGTTTAAATAATAGGAATATTTAAGTAAATCGTGATAAAATACTAAATACATATTAATTTTAATTTTTTTTAATTTAAAATTATTGAGGTTGCAAAATAATAATCTCTCCCCCTCAATTATTTTAATGGGAATGTACAATGGCCTCCCTCGCCCCTTCTCCGAAGTCTGCGCCTATGGTTTAAATTAATGAAGATGATAATATAGGCATGATACCTATGATGTGCATAAGGTAGCTTGGGTAGTTAAAAAATAGGGAATGCCAGGTAATATTTTTATATTTACTTTATAAAAAAAAGTCAAAACACATTTTAATAAATCGTTTTTAAGTAATTGTACCAACTTATTCTAGCATTTCCTGATCTTTGATATTTCGACTTGAGTCGTAGTTAAAGGGAGAAATCTGAAAATAGAACTTTGTCCTTGTCGAGTAGAAGAGGGAAGTCGCATCCCTTAACTTTTCAACTACCAACTGGAAGAAGTATTGTACATTCCAAACCTTTCCAGGACAAGTTTTCTTCACTACATACATTACTCTTTTCTTTTAACTATTCAAACTCGAACAAAGTTTTTTTATCTACTGATTTTTTTTTTTTTTTTTTAGAAATAAATATATAGTTGACTGTTAAAATTAAAAAGATGTGAAATAATCAGAATATACAGTCTTTATTTAGTTTATAAGGCTACTGACGTTCTGACGTTTCGACCCAGGCATGTTTTAAAAATTAAAAGTTTTAAAAATTAATTTAATTTTTAGCTCTGATAATGACCTAATAAATCTTGAGTATGCTGATTATTCGCCACACTATATTTTTTTTTCTTACTTGTTGAAATAATTTTATAAACTACAAAACATGGCTGTCATTATTCTTTTGATTAAAATAGAATATGTGGTTTTAAAGAAAAAGTACTTCAGGCATGCTTACTGGTACTGGCATTGGTAGCAGGACTAGTTTGGCAAATAAGCCTCATCAACAATTTTGCTCGACGCTTACCAAGTAACCCTGGAACCAGAACCCAAAGATGGTCCTCATCGCAGGTAAAGGAAGGATATAAATTAAGAAAGTTTATGTCATTTTATGTAAAATGATCCTTATCTGCCATTCTATAGCCACAGCTTTCAAAAATGGCGACTGATTTAAAGAATATTAGGTGTTACTGGCCTACTGGTTTGCTGGTTTCAATGCTCTTTCTCAGAAAAAAAAATTTAGAAAAAGTAGGTGTTATCATATTTATGCACGTTAATATCTCAATAAAAAAACACAAAATAATGCATAATTTGCACTCTTTTTATGTTATTCAAGGATTTGAAATTAGGGTAGAACCTTCAGTTTTAGCCACCCTCTAAAGAAACTTTTAAATCTTCTTGTCCCATTTTAAATCTCGTGGGTATTTGGTTAAACAATTTCGATTCTGATAAGTCAGATCGATAATTTCAAAATATAAATGTAACATTATGTTTCATTTCTTTTTTATAGTAAGTAAGGTCCCAAGAATGAACCTCATCGCAGGTGAAGGTTTGAATGTAAATAACGAAAGTGTATGTAATTCTAATGTAAATAAAATAAACCTTTTCTACCATTCCAGAGCAGCTGCTTTAAAAATGGCGGTTAATTTAAATAACATTATGCCAGTAATTTAAGGATCGATACGATAAATATGTAGCGAAAAATGTGGGAAAAGTTTATTTTTATTTTTCAACTTTAATATATGGGTTCAAGCATGTAAACTCAAAATAACTGACCAGAGCAACCATGGGAAAACTTTTCATAGTCACAAAAGCTATATTTTTCCGGCCTTTTTTTTTTTTTCACCTAAACTCCTAAACGGTGCATTGAAGTGAAAAATTAATGAATGTTAAATTGTTCGTCTAACGAGTACCTAAACATAATAATTTGTTCAAGCAGTTTGGTCGATAACCATGGTCAACTAAAGTTGAATTTACCAAATTTGTATATATATTTTTTCTACACCATTTTTCATTTGACAACATGGTTTATGAATATATTTCGGTGTGTGTGTATGTATATTTTAACATGAATTGAAATTTTGTTTTATTCATAGGATATTTGTTGCTCATTTGCCGGAAGACCATATTTTTTCTATATTTTTTTTGGCTTTTTTAATATATTTCATTTGATTATTATATTCTTTAAGCTTTTCAACTATGCAACGATTATTTTGTTTCAAATTCTTTTTAATTTCTTATTTGTAAAATATATATATATATATATATATATATATATATATATATATATTGTCGTATTTCGTAATTAGTCTCACTGGTTTGATATGTATATATAGTTTATTTAGGTAAAGCTTTTTATTTAGCTAATTTTTAATGTAACAATTTTTCTGGTCATATGTTATTCTTTTTTTTTTTTGTTATTCTTAAGGAACTTCGTCCTAGAATTAAGTTATTTATTTCTATTCTAGAATATTTCTATTTGTCAAAAACTGAAGAAAATTACAACAAATGGCCCTGTAGCTTGGAAATGAGTTCACTAAGAGGAAAACGCATAGAATAAAAATTGTAGAGCATCAGATTCTGCGATCACTGAGTAATAATATTTTTAATGTTGGTGAATTATACCTCTCGAATCATAATTCGTTATTTCTCCATGAATTTCAGTTTCTTTAGACAACTCGTTTATCAAAACCATCGCTGCTGAGATGTGGGAAAGAGGCCTGTACTTTATATAACAGACTAAAAAAGAATGACTCAATAGAATAGAAACCCATTATGTTGAAATATTCAGAATTACACATAACTTCATTACCAATGCCGAGCTATCATGATCGGAGTTCGTAATAATTTAAGCGGAGTTAGTGGTCTACATTAAAGCTGTTGACAAACAGCAGACGTGGAATTTGATCCTCTACAATTTTAATCTATGGGTTTTTCTTATTTTTCGATTTTCCTTCGATCCACTGTTTATGGGTTATAGGTAGAAAAAAAAAAAAAAATTCGACAAAATTACTGATGATTCCAGTGGTAACTAAAAAAATATTAGATCTTAGATAGGCTCCCTTTTGAATAGAAAATAACTTCAAGGCCCGTTTTTTCACAAAAATGTGGTTGATTGGGGTTTGTTTTGGAAAGGAAAAAGGTGTGTGATTCGGGAGAAATACGTTTACAAAAATTGTACTACAATAATGGCATAATAAAATTAATTTATTTTTTTACGGTTGAAAAAAGTTAATTTTTTTTTAATAATACTTAAGGAATGCAAATTTCATACCACATTTCTTGAAAAGAAAAAAATACCGTTTTTGGAAATAAACTTATTTTCACACAACTCTTTTTAATGTTTAGGTTCGTTATTGAAAAAAAAATTAATAATTGCACCATTGAATTTACAGCATTTTTGCATACTTTCATTTCGATAAAAATGGAATCTCACTTTGGAAAAAAGTGCCTCAATTACAAAAGTATGAACATAATAGGTGCAAAGGTTTTTTAAATTTGCAAAATAATTTTATACTATGAAATGATAATATATTATTTGAGCTTAGTCTACTAAAAGACATGTTGGTAAGATTTAAACCTTTTTTTTTCAAAGTTGTCTGCCCCGATTCGCGAACCAACTGCTCTTATCTGCCTGCTACAAGGGCTCATGGCAAAGGCAGCCTATATTTTATGCAGGATCTTTATTTTCAGTCCATTTAGCCCAAAACGTTTGACTAAATTATCTACAATCCATTAACTTCTAATGAAATTGTAAACCAACAAACATTATAATACAGCCCAAAAGGTTAGTTTTACATGTTAGAGCCACCAATAATTGCAATAGCGGTTTCAGGATTTTATTTTGGGAGTGACTATTCTTTTGAGATAACAAAAACGCTTTTTGGGATATTATTTATATATACATTATACACGTGCTTATACAAAGTAGCAGAAGTACATACGTATAATATAAAACAGAACATATTGCAAGAGTCTTTGGCTCAGATTATACATAGAAACAAATATGGACTCGTAGAAAAATAAAATATTTTTTTATTTTGGGAAATTTTCGCCAAAAAATCCCCTTGAATCCGCTGCATTGTATACATTTTATTATTTCATTGCCTTTTTATCTCATTTATTAAGTAATATCTCGTAGTATAAACCCGTTTTTATCAAATTATTAACACCTGCCTTAAGCTTAATGAATGACTCCATCCTAAACCTAAACATTTTATTATTCACGAAAATTCTCATAAAATGGCCGTTTTCAATCTGGAAATCGGTGAACTTGATCTATTTAATGAGATAATGAAATATTATAACCACCCGTTTGTTTTCCACTTGAATCGTAAGATAATTTGAACAGAAAATAGAGAAATAAGTGGACTAAAAAAATATTGGGCTGTTTGGCTTGACTCAACATGTCAAAAGTGACACTCGTGTGATACTCGTGTAAAAACTAAATTACATGTTTAAGAGTGTAATCCTAAAATAATATTAAGAAAATGTAAGATATAATTTCCAATTTGTATAATATACAATTATTTAGATGGGGACCTCAAGGGTTAAGCGTGGTTCACAATCACTTTGGTCACACTTGTTAATGGAGTGGCGACTGTATTCGGTTTATCCGAAAGACTGATTTCGGCGTTTCATGAACAAGTGTGACCGAAGTGATTGTGAACCACGCATAACTCATCTAAATAATTACCGACAAGCTTTTCTGAAATAAAGTTTTTTTAAGTTAAACAAGTTCTTTTCTATGCCCTTCCTTTACTCATTAATTGATTAGCAATGCCTTCAACAGGTTTTTTTTTTATTTATATAAATCTATTTTATATTTAAATAAATAATATTTGTTCTCTATCTGTAGACGTGGTGGTTCCAACATGTGTAATAGATAAAAAATGTATTCCTCATTATATAGTCAACCAAATGAATAGTGGTGTGATACTCCTTCTAAACAAATATCACCAGCTACTCCAAGGTAGTTACGTCAATATTTATAATCATTAATGGACTAGGTTTATAATCATTAATTTATCGCTATTCATAAGAAGAATCAATAAGCTTCTTGTTTAAGGAATATTTTTAATAATAGTGGTAAAGTGGATCGTACAGAGCTGGGACAGCATTGAGAGTAAGGTACAGTTTTCGAACATGCACAGCCAGAGTTTAAAGTTCAAAGGAGTGTTTTTATCTGAGTATGAAATAATTTCATCGTGTACATTATAATTTATAATAATTTGAAATATGATGAGTATGTACATCTAGAGAAGATTAATTTGACAGACAGTATGATTTATTTTAAAATCATGTCATTACCTTATTGTAGATTGCAACGAAACTTCAGCGTTCATTTCTCAGATAGTTTTTTTTTTTTTATTACAGAAATTTACAACTGTATTAAATGATAGATGCAACAAGTAAATATGAACAAGTGACATGACATGTACAACATGAAGAGAAAATACCCGTTGGTAGCACTCCAATTATATTTCTATATTAGAAGGTCCCGAGGCCATCTTCTCAGATAGTTGAAAATCATAATTTAGTAGAAGATGCAATAAACTTCTTTTATAAGGAATAACTTCAATAATTGTTGTGAAGTGCTTGGAACGGAGCTGGGACAATACTGGCGACAAAGTTCAAAGTTCGAACTTGCACAGACGTGCGGAGTCTAAAGTTCAAAGTTGTTGATTCATATAAAAATAAAATAACTTCATCGTATACATTATAATTGATATTTTACAGAGTGTCGACAACCACTCTGCAAAAGCCTGTAAGTATAATTTTATTAGAAAAGGTAGTTTTGAGTTTTTCAATCGTGTCTTCGCGCATGGTAAAATAAAGATAAATCGAAAACTTTATTATTTCCTAACAATAAATATAGCTTGTGTCATTTGCTAGTGGATATATTAAGAATCGATTAATTTAACATACAGAATTATTTATTAAAAATAATTTGAAAGATTTAAATAATAATAGGATTCCTAAGATTTATCAATGGATTCCATCAATTGAATGATTCCAGCACTGATGGAAAGCAGCTCATGTTGAGTTTAGAAATGTTCTGCTGGATTCAATCTGATGGAAGGTTGACACTCCTGAAGGTTACAAAACACTTAAAAAATACAAAATACATAAGGATTGTTAAGTTCACATATTATAAATATTCACCAACTGAATTGTTCAATTTCAAAACGAAAACAAATATACATATATAAATATAGAAAGTAAGCTGAATATAAATATGTTTAGCGTAAGAGAAATAACAACCTTGAGGTTATAATGAGGTTACATCCAGTAGTATCATCGATTCCAAATGCAAAGGAACCACTTTCGGTGATGCAATCGATTAATAAAGGAACGTGCTGAACTCCATTTATGGATCCATTGATGAGTTTAGAAACGGTTTGACGGATTTTGATATACATCAATGAGCTGAGCTCTGAGTATAGTAACTTGCTCCTTATTTACTATTATTATTTCTAATACATCTTTGACTGAATTAGTATTCCTCTTTGGCAAGGTTATTCCCGCGTAAACTGCCCGCGGTTTTGTTTGGGTTGTACAGCCACAGTTAATTATCTGGTTGTGTATTCGTTGTTTCAGTGTTTATATATGTATATTAAATATTAATTGTAGCTGTTGTGAATAAGGAACACGCACCATTTTATAAATACTATCTTTTCTTTATAAGGAACGCCTTTCTTTCGTTTTATTGGAATTTAGTGTACTTTTAGGTAATATTCTGTGGATTCAATATTTTATAAATGTTAAACTTTAGAAGTATATTAATGTTCTTTGTTAAAATTAAAAAATGCGAAGTGTTAGAAATGTATTTAATGATATAAGTTAATCATTAGTGGTAAAGAGAACTAAGGTATGAAATATTTTTTTTATTTGACAATCTTATCATTTGATAGTGAAAAGAAATGAATTATTGTATCCGCAATGTAGTGTTAACTTTGTTCTTTTCATCACCAAACGGTGAGTCTTGGTCCAAATGGTTATATTGTCTAATAAAAATAAAAGCATATTTTTTGTCTTAGTTCCTTTAATCACTTAATGATTCAAGTGTTCTACAGTATATCTATGCATAATGATTCAATTGTTTAATTATATCAGTGCATTATGCCCTAAAGTTGATTTAAACTTCAGGAAAGATGTCTTCAAGTAGACCTGGAACACCTCATAGACCCGGTACACCCCACAATCGACCAAGAACTCCAAGAAGAGCAAGGACACCTAGGAGTAGACCAGATGATTACATTATTGAAGCATCAGATCCATTTTCATTACCATTATCTGCTTCAGATGATCGAATGCGACCTACAAGCCCATTTGGTAATTGATTTCATTTTTAATTTTGATATTAATCTGTCTGTTAATGATTCTAATTCAATTTATGTTAGTAATATTTTTAAGTATATGAGATCTAGTTTGAGTTCATTGACAATTGGAAGGCCTTTTTTTTTATAATTTTCATCAATGGTGATATATTTGTTTTCTTATTTATTTGACATTAATTGTTAGTTAAGTCTTGTGCTAAAGTCCGTGTTAGTAGTGCCATTATTTTATATATTTTATTATGATTAACCAATTAATATTATTAGGAGAAGATATAAAAACTTATTTTCATTTCCAAGATTCACTCTTATTGCATCTTAATATAACTTTTATGAGGGATGGTTGTTTCTATAGAATGGTCATCTACTTGTGCTAATTTGTTTTTAAACTTTGATTTTGTATTTTCTGGATTTAATAATAACAGGTTTTGAGTCGATTAGGTTTTCAATAAATGAGCTGGTATTCATGCTACTTTTAATTTTTTTTCTTCTATTTTATGTGTGTGCAATGTCGTCATTTCCCTTATCCCAAATAATTTTGCAGTTAACATACCATCACCAACTGCTCACTGTCGAGACGACTCATAGGTACCTCACTAAAGTATAAATATTCTTACCTAAGATGCCAACTATGAGTTATCTCGTATTTAATTAAGTACCATATTTTTGACGCCAATTACTAGTGCTTTTTGATGATTACTATGCGTTACAATTAAAGGTTTTAATAATATAATATGATTAAATTAAATTGGTTATTTAGATCTGAATCCTGAAAAGTACCTTGGCAGTCAATGTGTTAAACTATCTTTGAATAATTTTTGCCACAACACCGAATGGTTTATTTATAGAAGCTGTGCATATGCCATACAGCCCCCTCTAACTTACAAGCCTACAGCTTCTTCTATTATTAGTATAAAATATTACTTCTTAAATGAAAATTTCTCAACTCGAATACATCTCAAAAGATATGTTGATTGATTTCTTGTTCCAGAATCTGTTAATATATGAATCATTGTTTTCTTCTTAAAGTTTTTTGTACCATTGATTTTATTTGTTAGTTTTCTTATCTTAAAATATAATAATTTAGAATTTAATGTTAGTGGGAGGAAATGAAAATGTGAGCTCACCTCTTAATTATGGAACACCTAGTTCAATATATGGTTCCCTGAGAACACCACGGTCTGTGGTTCGTAACACTCCTTTGAAGGCCCGACCTGATATTCTAATGGATAAACGTGTTCGACAGCTTAATATGCAGTCTGAGGTATGTAATTCATCTTTTTATTTCTCACTCCTAGAATACATGTAAAAATATTGTTTTTTGTTAAACTGAACATGAGTTGACTTCTATGTATAAGACAGTATGATGTATCTGAATATTGAATGATATGTCTAAAAGTCATATATATGATATTCAAGTATTTTTTATTAATTTCAGGGAGATGATCTCAGTTCTGAAACAGACCGAAATGAACCAACTCTTGTTATTTGGGGAACAGATGTAGTTGTTTCGAAATGCAAGGCAAAATTTAAAGATTTTATCTCTAATTTTGTTGGTAAATATTCTGAAGATTCTGAACCTGAATTATTGTATCTTAATGATCTAGAAAAAGTAAGTATATTAATATTTTTATTAATTTATTTTTCTGCAATTAAATTTCATAATAAAAAAAAAATCTGATGTGTATGCACTTGCATTATTTATAAAACTGCTTAGTTAAAAGTTAGATGGAAGGCATGGGTATGATTATATATTTTGACTTTTCTTTCTACAATTTAACCTTTCTAAATTATATTTCTTGACTTTAGTTACAATGGCTGAATATGACATACACCGTTCTGGTGTTAATCTTCTCATTTGTTCGAGAAAAAATTATTTTACTTTTTGTAAATTTGTTTTAGATAAGTGTTGTTGAAAAGCCGTTTTTGAATGTTAATTGTGCCCACATTGAACAGTTTAATCAAGATTTATATAGACAACTAGTTTCATACCCGCAAGAAGTTATTACCTCATTTGATATGGCTGCAAATGAATTATTTTTTCAAAAACATCCTGATCATGTTTTACCTCACCAAATACAAGTTCGCCCTTTCAATACAGAGAAAACTCTGAACATGAGAGAGCTTAACCCTGAAGGTATACACCTATATTTTTTAATTTAGTACATTTATTTAGATTTCATTTTCAATTTTAAATTTAACATCAATATATTTTCGGTCACTACATCTTCTTTAATAATGAAAAATTCATTTCATTGCATAAAAAAATAAAAATTCCATGAACATCATGAAACAATATGCAATGAATTGGTGAGATGACCTCATATTTGTAGGCAAGACTTATTTGTCTAAAAAATACTGTGTCCTAATTTTAAACTGTGGTTTGGAAATGATTTATGATAAAATTATTCTTAGTCAGCTAAAAATGTGTCTAAGTTTCATTAAAATTGGTCCAATCATTTATATCATTCATAAATTATCGATTATTATTTATTTTATTAAAAATTTTTTCAACTGTTTGTTTAAAAAAAAATAAATAAGCTGTTTTAATGCTTTGCAGATATTGACAAGCTAATAACTGTAAATGGAATGGTTATTAGGACAAGCTACATTATACCTGAAATGGGGGAAGCATTTTTCAAGTGTAGCGTATGTGACTCTTCAAGAGTGGTTGAAATAGATCATGGTCGAATATCTGAACCAACTCTGTGTACTAATTGTAATACAAATCATTGTTTCAATTTGATTCACAATAGATCCGAATTTAATGACAAACAAATGATAAAACTGCAAGAATCACCAGGTAATTAAAATACTTTCTCTGTATTAAAAGTATGCTGTTTAAATATGAAACACATTTTGTTCTTTGTTTTAAAATAACCTTATCTTATAATCATGTATATCTATAATAAAATCATGTTGTAGAGGGTACATAAATAAAAATTAATTGATTCGAAATATGTTATAACTACATACTATTTTCTTGTTCATACACATTATTTAAAACATGAAATCACTGACTAAAGAAATGATGAATTTAAACTGCACAGGACTGCCTTACTGAACACATTAAGACTGAAACTCTTCGTTTGATCCCAAGTGAAAATGTGCATTTTTAGTAACCTTTTAAAAATAGATAAGCACAATTTCCATCACTTAAAAGCTCCAGATCATATTTGAAATTATGTAATTTACATTTATTACCTTTAAAATTCTATATTAAGTTTTAATGATTCCTTTTCTTTTTGTACCTTTAGCTTAAACTGTTATGTTTTTTAAATTATTTACCTAATCTATTTTGTCTTATTAGACTCAGCTCCAAGATTACCAACTAGTTTTTATTCATTCATTGTTATAAAGTATTCTTTAATTAAATTTTTTAAATCATTCTAAAGATTACTAAATCAAAATAATTTCTTTCTTATTAATTTATAACATTATCAATTTACAATTTTCAGATGATATGCCTGCTGGTCAAACTCCATACACTGTAACATTATATGCACACAATGATCTTGTTGATTATGTTACTCCTGGTCAGAGAGTAAGTATAACGGGAATATATAGGGCTGTTCCTATGCAAGCTAATCCTCGAACAAGAAATTTAAATTCTGTTTATAGAACGTATGTCGATATTTTGCATATAGCTAAGGTTGGGACGGCATGCATTCGTGATACTGATCAGTAAGCTATTTAGATTTTGCTTTTTATTATCTTATATCCCTAAGCATAATCTAATGTACATATTTTGTTTTTATAGTACTTTTAAACCTTCACCTGAAAGATTGGAACTTTTGACAGCACTAAGTAAAAGGCCAGATCTTTATGATAGATTAGCAAATGCTATTGCTCCTTCAATTTTCGAAAATGAAGATATAAAAAAAGGAATTTTGTTACAGTTATTTGGTGGAACAAGGAAAACATTCAACAGTTCTGGGCGAACTGCTTTTAGGTAGTCTATATAATTATACCATAGATTGATTGACACCATACAAATTCAATGTATCTAGATTTTATTATCCTATTAGTTGATTGTTAAGTTACAAATTTCTTTTACTTATATTTTTCTTTCTTTTTTTATCTTTCACAAAAGTTTTTTTTAAATAGTTTATTATTGTATAATAATTTAAGTAAAAATTAATTAAACCCTTTCAAACTTCTTTCTCAATTAAACCCTTTTAGTTCTCAATATATTAGACAACATTCCAGACTAATCTAGCCATCTTCAAGTTTGCCTATAAAAGTATTTATTGTACTTAAAATTCTTTCATAAGTCATATATAAATTCATACATAACTATTTTATAAATTTATTCATACACATTATCCCCATAAACTCATCCAATAAATCTAAAAACTAAGGAAAAGGCAATCATATCATAATTATTACCTAATCTAATTGTATTATTTTGTTTTATATTTATATTAAAACAAGCCATTCTTCAAATAAAAAATTTGTTTTTGTTTTTGAATATTGATCCTGTACAAGATTCTTGCTCCTATAAAGTCACATATATATTCTAAAAATAGTATAAATATTAACCAAATTAAAATGAATAATTTTAAACTATTCTACCCAATTACTTATTTAGTCATAAATCTTAAACACAATTACATGCCTAAACTCAAGACTAAAATCACACTGTGTTCAATGATGATAATATTAATGATTTATTTAATCTCACTTGTTCTGCAGCATGCTTGGTACCCTCTTATTTCTGGCATAGTGAAGTACAATACCTTTATTATTAGTTTTAAAATTTTCTGCAATTTTAGTTTGTTTTTCTTTATATCATTGAAATCAAATTCGTGATCATTTATTATCTTATGTCTTGCTAAAGAAATCTTATTTTCCTTATTACATTTTCCAATCTCCGAACACTTTTTGCTCTTCTGTAGAGCTTTTAAAAGTGTTACGATAGTTTACCTCTGACATACAGAATTATCCAAACCAAAGGACAATACAAGATTAGGGTACATCTACTGGCAAAAAGAGTTAACTTCATTATATTTTTTCTTAATGTACATTTTTTAAAAAAAAGTTTATTGTATTGTAATAAATATATACTAAAAAGTTAATTTGCATGAAAAAACACGAATCTATGAAGAAGGTAGACCAGAAATGTGTCTATGCTTACCTTTGTAAAAAGGTAAAGAGTTTTTTGTATATTTCTTTCAAAATTTTAGAGTTTTGTGTTAACACTCTTTTGTTAGTAAATACCTCATATTGTTTTCTCAATGTATAGGTTCTTAACCCCAGTCAATCAATTAGGTTGGCAATCGAAATTGATTGGCTAGGTTTGTCAAGTTTGATATTTTTGTTTTAATTTAATTTATTGTTCAATTAATTTGTTATTAATTATCCTTCCTGTTTCAAAAAGCTTCTCATATTTTTTTTTTTTGATTTCTCTTTATTTGCAATCCAAGATGTGTTTTATAGAATATTTCTAATCGTATTTATTTTTTAAGGTCTGAGATCAACATTTTACTATGTGGTGATCCTGGAACCACAAAATCACAACTTTTATCACATGTTTACAACCTAGTGCCAAGGTCACAGTACACGAGCGGAAAAGGATCTTCAGCTGTTGGTCTTACTGCTTATGTGACGAAAGATCCCGAAACTAGGCAACTTGTCCTTCAAACGTATGTTTTTTAATTTTTTTATTTTATATAATATTAATTGTTTATATTTTCTTTTTTTCAATATTTTGATTTGTTTTTATTGAAATCAGAGGAGCATTAGTACTGGCTGATAATGGTGTTTGCTGTATTGATGAATTTGATAAAATGAATGATGCCACAAGAAGTGTTTTACATGAGGTAAGTTACTTATGGCAATATTATTGTAGAGTCATGTAGTATTTTTGACTTGAAATTTTAGTGGTGGTCAATACAATTTTAATTCATTTTGGAATATACTTTTGTATTATTTTATTCTAATATTTGCCTGAGCATTTTATCATTATGTAATAAGTTGAGTCGGAATCCACTTTAATAATTTCTTTGACATATTCTGTAACACTGTAAAGTGAAAATTATAATTTAAGTCTTAGTCATTATTAAAGCTTAAATATTATTATAACTTTATTAAATATCTATTATTACTATTTAATTAAATGAATATTTATATTTAATAATAGGTAATGGAACAGCAAACATTGAGCATCGCAAAAGCCGGTATTGTATGCCAGCTCAATGCTAGAACTTCTATTTTAGCAGCTGCTAATCCTTTGGAATCAGAATGGAATAAGAATAAGACAATTATTGACAACATTAGACTTCCTCATACTCTTTTATCTAGGTATTAATAATTTTCTTTCTTTTTTTTAATTATTTGTTAAACCTAATTTATATTCAGTTTTAGTGTTTTACTCTCCTTCCACCAAATTAGGAAAAGGTTCTTTGGCCATTCAAATTCCAGTAACTGTTATATTCACACTTACTGAATGCTTTCAGATAAATGAATTCAGAGGTTAGTCAGGATTCACAAAATGTACAGCTGTAATCATGAAACTTCGGAAAAGAAAAAACTGGACATAAACATAATGGCAATTTAGGCACATTTTTGTATTAATATTAGAACCCATAACTTTTGATATTGAAGTTTATGAATATTCAAAAGTTCAGTTACTTATTTTTAAACTCACTGTATTACAAAATACAATACTTGTTTCTATATTGTATTTTAATTTCTAACAGCACTAATTTTATAAACATGTTAATAATCATATTTACAATTGATGGATCATGTTTGCTAAGTTTCTTCTAATATAAATATAAAAGTAAAAAAAAAAATGTTGAAAAGCTTAATTTTTAAAGTACAAATTGTTGACAAGTGTCTTCCATGTCCATGCTTTATATATGAATTACAATAATCAAACCGTTTTAATAATATTTTTATTTATAAAGTTGTTCATGGTGTCAACTGAACCTGGAATACCCGAAAAGATCAAGTAATTTCACAAACTGGGATACTAGAACGAATTTTCTGTTATGATTCAGAATTAAATATGTATGATCCTAATAGTGATATATAACACAACTATACATATGACATGTCAAATAAGTTATGGGACGTTTATCAATCATTCAGGATAAATAATTATTCATGTTCCAAAAACAAGTTTATAAGTCAGTTTTATAGATGATATTGTTTATTTTTTTGCTTTTTTCATGACTAAGAGGAGGCTGCCTTGATATTTATAAATGAAAGATAATTTAATTTTGTTAATTTTCTTACAAACACATATCGAAGAAATTTAATGTTCATATAATGTATTTAGTACTTTGGATTTCAGTATTTAAATGTTATATCAATTCTGTTAAATGATTATTAATAAATATAAATTTTTAAAAATGTAGTATTTCGATGATCTGGAAAATTCAGGGTATTCCATATAAAAGTTTCGGTTGACACTAATTATTAATTAAAATAATTTATAAACATTAATAATTTTTGTAATTTTGCAGATTTGATCTAATTTTTCTGATGTTAGATCCTCAAAGTGAACATTACGATCGTAAACTTGGCAAACATCTTGTTTCATTGTATTATCAGTCCAAAGAAAAAGAACAAGATGAATTAATGGTATGTATTTATTATTTTGTACTTTTTAAAAATAAATTTATTTTTAATGAACTACAGTTGTGTGCCGGAAATTGATTTTATATCATTTAGGCTTTCAAATCTACTAGTTTCATTGTAGGTTTCTTTTGAGAAGTTAATTGTAATTAAAAAAAAATTTATGACTGCTACTTTGAGATTCTAAAGCAGTTAGTCAAATCTGCTGAACTAAATAATTATCCTCCAAACTAAAATACTGAGGTATATTATTAAACTAATGGTCCTAACTAGTCTGATATCAATAATGTAGAACTCGTATAAATATTGTTTAATATAAGGGGTTCATTCATTCATCAGGGTGGGACTATTTAATTATTCTTAACTTCATTCCCAATAGATAGCATACCTTCAATAACATCTTGACTATCTGTAAAACTGTATGTGCATCGTTCTAACTGAAGACAGTCACTGAATTGCATATTTGAATTTCTAAAAATATTCTTAGCTCTTAAAAACTTTTCTCTTGATTATTTTTCTATTATGTAAAAACATCTAAGCATGAAGATACAGTGTAACTTTTTTGTTTTTTGTCTTAATGCTTCATATTTAATACTGATTGATTGAGAAAATGAACTTATTTCATACAATTATCGATTATAGGACCGTTTGGTGTTGCGGGATTATATCACGTACTGTCGTGATAACCTAATGCCATCACTGAGTCCTGAAGCTTCCGAGCATCTTGTTCATGCTTATGTTGAAATGCGAAGAGTTGGAAGTGGTAGAGGACAGATCAGTGCTTATCCAAGACAATTGGAATCCTTGATAAGATTATCAGAGGCTCATGCTAAAATGAGAATGGCTGAAACAGTTGAAGTTGTTGATGTTCTTGAAGCCCAGAGGTAACTTGATTTATAAGAGATTTTTTTCTTAATCTGATATTTTTACTATTCAATTTTTGTGGTTACCAAATTTTTGTTTATTAGTGATTCAAATATATGTATATTTTATAACTTGGATAATTAAAATTTTGCTCTTCGTTCAGGTTACATAGAGAAGCTTTGAAACAATCTGCTACTGATCCTCTTTCTGGTAAAATTGATGTTAACATCTTAACTACTGGAATGAGCACAGCTGCAAGAAAGAAAAAACAAATGGTGGTTGATGGACTCCGTACCATTATTGAGAAGAAGACCGGTCCTGCCACTCTTATGTATCGTAAACTTTTTAATGACCTGAAGGATGTGCTTCAAGTGGTATGTATTATGTCTAAATATGTTTTGATAATTAGATATCAACAAAACAATAAATATATAGGCTCAACAATTAATATATAACATTTAATCCCATATATTTGATGCTCACAATCAATTACCTATGGCATTGGTCGGTAAACCATGAGTAGTTAAGGAATGAGTTATGCTCCTTGATAATTTTTTTTTACGTTGCGTGATGAGTAATTGTGACCTTGGCAATATCTAAAGATCCGTCCAGGCTACTTTCTTTGCAAACTCAAATGGTCTTACCTATTTGTTTTATTTCCAAAGAAAAATTCGCAAATAATAAGAAGTCCAGATATTTTTAAATAAAGCATGGCTAATTTGGCACAACCTGGATATTAACTATGCTTTTTACCAGGAGGAATAAGCTCAATTTAACCGGTCTCTGTCAATAAAATCCGTTTTATAACATTATTTTTGGTGGTATGTATTGAAAAAAAATATATATATCTCATATCAATAACTCATTTAGTTGACCATATTATGAACAAAATAACCAGAAGCAGAAACAACTATTTTTTACTTAAGCTGAACACAAATGTGCTACTAAAAATGAAGCTGAAATAACCACCAAATATTGTATAATTTTCAACAGAAATGAAAGTAGGTTCTTCAATGGAATAAAAAGTAGTATTTTGTGTAAAACAATTACAGAAGTCTAGGCTTATCTATACGTTACAATAATTAAAAATAATATCTTACTTTTTAATTATGTTCATTGATTAAAATGCTTCCTAATTACATGTGAATTAATTGCATATAAAGAAGAAAATATGGAAAATGTGGGAGAAAAGATGTCAACAAAAAGAATTAATAAAATTCCATTGTTCCAAATGGAAAACTTCTAACTGACTCTCCAGAAAAGAAGAAACATTACTCTTTACTTACTTTTAAGATTTGGGTATTGTGAGTTCTCATGTGCCTATCTACTTAAAGGACTGAAAGTCCAACCTGTGAAAGTTGTAATTTCGAAAGAACTGTCATAACACGTTATTCAAGACTGCCCTAGATTTAATTTGTAAGAAAAAGACTGGATTTGGCATCAAGTCTCAAAGAAAACTTAAATGATTGTGAAAAAACTTTTCAATTCTTAAAAATACTTAAATTGTATAACAGAATGTAAGGAAAAGAGTGTTGCCATGACCCTACAGGGTGGGGGCTACAAAAATTCCAAATAAATAATTACATGTGAATTATTTATGAATATATTAAGTATGGGGATGAATAAATGTTAGCAAATTGGTTATTCAATACATTATATTGACTTTTTCACTGCTGCAACTGCAGAGCTTTACATCTACAAGAGAGTGCTAAGTAAGCCAATTACCCGCCTACCGCCTGTGCTATATAGTTATTAACCTTACTTTATTGTTTCTATTCTCCTTTTTGATTCAGGCTGTGTACCGACACCAGCAGAATTGAGACTTTTTTTTCTTTTTTTTTTATACAATTAAATATTTATTTAATAATTTTATTTTATATGGCATAATTCGAAACATTTGAAAGCCATTACAAAGAAAAACCTTAGAATTGCGACATTCTACCTTGGCTTTGCACCGAGTATTTGTTTTATATTATATTTCTTTCATCAGTAGTAATGAATTCAGCTGTTTTTACAGCACTAAACCACTGTTTCTCTATTTTAAAGAAAATAACAAAGCAAATATATATATGACTAATTTTTATCTAAAAAATAATTAAATCTATTTTTTAATTTTTTTTAATTCATTTAGATAATGAACTGTTTCTTCATTCTTAATTTTAGGTGGTTTCACGAGACATGTTTGATGAGGCATTGAAAGAATTGCAAGAAGGAGGAGTTATAAAAGTTACCGGAAGACAGACTGTGAAAGTCTTGGGCTGAAGTTACAGGGGCATAGTCCGAGAATGTCCTCGGCTGTAAAGTTCTTTTTATTTAAATAATGATTTTATTATTATGTATAATTTGAACACATTTTTAAATTAAATTTAAATTTGTAATGTATATTCATTAAAAATGTTATTTTTAATTGTTTATTGTAATTGTTATGCCTCCTGTTAATCTCAATTTACTCTATCATTCTTTGTGTTTTATATCATCCACAATTTTTTATTGACAAACAAAATTAAAATATTAATTATGAAATAAATAATTTTACTGAAGTATATTTTCTTTATTTATCATATAAATTGTATTTGTTAAGTGTTTCCAAGATAATGCTCAATTACAGTTACAATGTAGGCCGAAACGTTGGACAATGTAATCAAATATACTATTATAATATACAAGTTTTATTAAAATAAATTACAATATTTCTTCCAATAAACAAAAAAGTTAAAAAATTACTTTTTAAAATTTTCCTTTTTTACAATTTACATTTAATTAGACGTATTGCCACTTCTGGCTTGAATGACTGCTTCCACTCATAAAAAGATTTTGAAGAAAATCTTGGCGTATATTGTCCCACTCCTCCAATACAGCTGCCTTTAGCATTTCAAGGGTAGTATGAGATGAATCTCGTCACCGAACCTTTCTTATGACATAATCCCAAACGTGCATGATTCAGTTTAGGTCAGGACTTCTTGCTGGCCAATCAATGGAGTGGATATTTGTAGTGTTCAGTGGGCATTATCATGCATGAGCAACAATTCAGAGCCTATGAACAGCATAAAAGGCACTACATGATCTTGAAGAATCATTTCTATATAACTCAAAGCATTTAAGGCCTCTCCTTGGTTAGACACTAACTCAGTGCATTCCTTCCAAGATATGCCACTCCAGAATCTTATAGAACTCTTTCCCCTCCCCCAAATGGCTCACTTTCTAACCTGCAGTACTGACTATACTGTTCTCCAAACTCTTTCATGTTCATCTGGTCTGTTAAGGGCCATTCTTGTCTCATCAGTGGATAAAACTTTTTTCCATTTCTCCACAGTCCAGATTGGTGTTCCCTTGCATCTGTCAATCTACAGAAAATGGGGTCAATCTTACTGGGCATGGGGGCTTTCGAGACATGGATTTGGAAAAGATGTAGATCATCTATGCCCTAGCTGTGAGATCCCGAAGACTGCTGAGTACATTATCATAAACTGCACTGCCTTTAAGTCGCTAAGGGAGAAAACTACCCTTGCTACAAAGAATTTGTGTATGGGTGGAAAGAAGCAATTGGACCTTTCACACTTCACACGCCAGGGAGGCCGCGACATAAACAGCAAATTTAAATATGAAAATTGGTCTTTTTGCAGAAGCAGGCTGTTATACAGTGACCTGTAACAACCCAGTTCTGCAAAACCCCTAATGCCTCAATGGCACCATAGGGTTCAAATAAATAAAATAAAAATTAGTATCAGTCCAATCATTTGGTGATGGAATGTAGTCAATACAGCAAAAAGTTGCTGAAGAATGTTTCTCGACGGTTCTATATATTTTTTGGGGTGCTGAATCTAAAAATCGAGTTATCCACTAGATTCGAATATGACCACTACAAAAAATCATAAAATTTAGGAAGTTGTTTCAGTTTGTTGCTTATAACTCCGAAACGTCCTAAAGAAAAAGAAAAATGTTCCCGAACGAAATTCACATTGCGTTCAGATATATGGGAAAATACAGTGAAATTTCAATTTTTTTTTTTAGTTTTTTGGACATTGCTCTGAAACTATACATTATGGAAAGTTAAAGAAGATAAAATTGATTATCAATTTGATGTAGGCCCAATGGGTGGCTTATTTCACAAGAAATGTCTGTTTCCATAAATTACCTAAGAAAGTATAAAAATTACATTTTTCATACGACAATTCATGCCTTGTATTCAATTTAATAGTGAGATGGTGACGGCATGGAATATATGTGGTCTTACCTCCCAAGACGTAGCATCTAAATAACAGGTAACATGTGCCCCCCTCTTCCAACTTTAAATAAATTTGAACATTAATAGAAGTTAAGTTATGACAGGGAAATATTGAAGAAGACTTATTTAAGAAAGATGTATTGTGTTTTTTTCCCCTTTTTTCAAAATGAAACTGCAGATTACGATAGTTAGGCTCAACATAATTTTTTACAGCAATATAGCCTATAGCATAGGTGGGAAATCTTTTTACCATTAGAGGCTGCAGTAAGGTTAGGAAGTGCTTATGGAGACAGCAATAATTCTTTATCGGTGATTCTCAGATCATGGACAATTTTCATGATAAAATTTTAATAATTTTGACGGCATTTAAATACAATTTCTAAATACCTACATCCTCTATTGCCGGTCAGCTTTATCTTAGCAAGAAGCCAAGATCAAAAGTGCTTTTTGCTCAGTATTTAAAGTATGTAGAGCTAATAATTCGGTCGTGGGAATAAAACGAGTTTTCAACTTTGTAATGACGTTTGAACGTATTTTATTCGGCCAAAAACGTTATGTAACTAGTGTTATAATTTTTCTTTTTTTCCAACTGACTTGGTACATACAAACCGTAATCAAATGTAAATTATAATAAATTAAATAAGTTAAACTGTTAGCGAAATAATATACGCGGTGGTAATGACAATAAAGGTACGTGCTCAAGTATAAGAAACGGATGCGTAAAGAAAGATTCCCCAACTGGTCGGTCTCTCCGTTGGTGGCTGTCCTTATAATTCCTTGGCTACAACTATACTCTGAAGAAATTTCTCCACTGTTTTCTCTTTTCAACGCTTAAATATCTGATGTTATGTTTTTTGCTTGGTAATGACATCAAAGTGATGGGATAATGTTTGAAAATTGAACATACTTCACTGTTAACAAAAGTTAAAAAATATATATATAATTAAAAATGATTTAATTATTCTTTAGGGATGGAAATAAATTTCACTGTCATTTTACATAGGTTTCGAAAGAAAAAAAAAATTGTTTACTAGAAAACTGAGAGTGGGACAATACGTGATAATGGAATTTTAGTAGCTTAAGTAATTATAAAATAACACTATTCTTTAATATTTTAATTTTTAATACTTTATTATGAAAAAATACTTCTTCGCCGTATAGCAGTGGGAGAAAAAATCAAGTTAGAACTAACTAATCATGTAAAAGTTGTAATGGACCAAAACTTGCCCTTAAAATGGGAATCGCCCTTATATTTTATCGTTGTTATCTGTATTTATTACAAATATACATACCCACATACATACACTCAACTTAACTATATTAATTTTCAAATTGTCGTTTCTTAAATAATTAAATATTGATTAATTCTAGTACTAGATTAATAAATATCGCGAAAGAAAAAACGTTAGGAGGCCGCAACTACCTCACAGTGGCCACACGCGGCCTCTGAGGCCGCGGTTCCCACATTTGATCTAGCAGAGCTCTCCAATCCGGTCCGCGAAGGTTTCTTTGATCACTGATCACGAAGTAAAATTTTTGAATTATTTTAAAAATACGGAATTCAGTAAATCACGCAAACAGGAGGTTTGTGTACCATTTATTGCATGAGTTGTCTCTCTTAAAAAGCTTATTTCACAACTGAAATTTCATTTATTCGTCACAAGCAATGATTCACAGAACATAGTGCAAGTCTCAATGCGGCTGGGGGGACTTATTGGAGGTCTCAATGCGGCCCGCAGATCAAAAAGTTTTGAGCCCCCTGGTCTGTATCAAAAATCTAATGCTATTCTCTCTTCCTCCAAAAAAAGTTAGACGCATAATATAGGCTACACCTATACTTATCCCAGTATCGAGCCATTTCCTTCGACAATAAAAACAAAATCTCAAACTTACCAAATAAAGTAACCATCATTGTAAACAAATATTCTAGATCACTAGTGGATCCAGGATTTAATTTTTGGGAGACTTCAGCCCGAAACTTCTTTTTTTCATGTATATAACGATAATTATTTTGGAAAAAAAATAAACATACTAACTACCTACATGAAATGGTGTTTAGGTGATTCTTGATGTACTATTAATTATAATTACACGAACAATAATACTTTAAGAGATGATTCTTTTATATTTTTTACCATAAAACATTGTTACATTTTACCATTTTGGGAGGAGGTGAGACTTCTGCCCTAAAGCCCCGCCCTTCCCCGTAAATCCGCCTGTTCCAGATTAAAATTTAAAAAATAAACAATGTCGGTGGAACAACAGTTAGAAACGGGAAATAAGAGACGGGTTGTAAACCTGGTAACAAGTTTGTTCACAAGGAAGCCACGAAATTGTTATAACAGTGGAAGTAATGAATTATTGACTTGATTATTATATCTACATTTGGTACATGAAATCGATTAAAATAAAATTGGATAATAATGTTTGTTTCTTTTTATTTTTTTTATATAGTTAAATATGTACTTCCAATTAGGAATAGTGGTTATCCTACACGTCAAGAAATCCTTTCTAACTACAGTAAGAAGATCGAAAATTATTCATTGATCCTATCATACAGATCGTTGCATGCAATGATAAAGAATTTTACAGGTCTCCATGGTTACCCATAAACAGTTGCTATGTCAAGTGCCTTGGATTTGTAAACGTTTGGTTATAATGAGGGGAATATTAGCCGCTAAAAAATCGTCTAAGAAGTTTAAAGCTGTAGAGTATTAACCTTTTTTTATTTAGTGCATGTTTGGTTTAGCTTAGCATGTCTGAAGCACCTGAAACAGAATCTGAGGTGTTTACCTCAGAACCAGTGACAGGGGATGAGTTCTCCAAATCAGATATCACTCAGCCAGTCAGCCTGACAACAGATTTTGCAGAATCCGATGCACACTTGACGGATGAGGCTGCCACTGCTCCTAAAGGAGATGAACATAAAACATCAAGAACATCAAGTAAAAAAACAGAAATAAATGAGCCAGAGACTCCTGAGGTAGAGAAAGTAAAGAAAGAAAAAGATAAGAAAGAGAAAGGTGGAAAAGTTAAGAAAGATAAAGGTGAAAAAGGTAAGAAAAAGAAGGTGAAAGTAGAAGAACCCAAAGTGGAAGAAGAGGCCACGGTCACTTCTCTTAGCAGCAATGCAACTATGGAAGTAGAAAATGAGTTCAAAAAGATTTTCCGCATGAAAAGGATGTTCTTGGAAGGAAGTTCAACGACTCCCACTGCCAGGCACACACCTCAAGTATCAGCACTGCTTTTTGTTATTTGTAACTTCATTGCATCACAGCATTGCTAGCTTATACACATTTAAATTTTCACAAAGCTATTCAGTCACTAAATAATTACAATTAGGAATATCTTGAACATACAAAAAAAAAGATATCTCAACACTGCCAAAATCACATTGATCTAGAAATACCTACAAATGTATTAAAATTATAGTTTAATCATGTACTTACTATTAATAAATGGACTGCACTTAACAGAAGGGAACCAATTCAAATAAAATATGTACTTAGTGACTTGCAGTAAACCTGCAATTTTTTTTTCTCTCTCAAACATGATTTTACTCTTCATTTTATCCTCTATTAATCAATAGATTGATAAAAAATAAAATTTAATGTGGTTTATTACTTGACATTTTTTTTTTTTTTTTTAATAGGAATGTTAATTTCTTTAACTTCAATTTGTCATTAAAGATACCTGAATCATTTAAATAGATCTTTTCTGTTGAAAATAGTAATCAATAAACCGTTTATAACTAATTTTTGCATATTTGGATTGGTTTCCTTCAGCTAAATATCCTACAAATAATAAATAATTCCCTTAAAAATTTACTCAAGTTTAAAATTGCATTTTTAAAGTCTGACAAGTTATGGTTTGACATCATCTTTATTTTGAAGTGTCCATACCTTCTCTTTCAAATTTTTCATGATTACTGTATATAGATTTTAGGGTTCATTTCAGTAAGTTATAATCTACTTAATCTGAGTTTTTATGAGTAACATTAGGTCACTTATTACTAACTGATTTATTTGACTTTTTTTCATAATAAAATTCTTTGCAAGTAATAGAAGAGATGAATTTAACATTTTCCGTGATGTTGTCAGATGGGTTTAAGCTCATTCTTTTTATGGCCATAAATAGAATTTTTTCAACATTTATTTTGAGGCTATCCATTATCATTTCCCACTAAATGTATTACTCAGCCTCCTGGCAGTCTGGTTCTTTCTACTACCAAGCACAAAGCCATCTCCCTAAACCAGGTTGGCAGTGATCTGTTCTTAGCGTAGTGTTTCCACCTAACTTGCATTCTTCAACAATTTATCCAGAACTGCCATGAACTAAGAAGTTTCTTTCATAGAAAAACTGATAAGTTTCCAAGTGCTTGGGCAGTTTTAATTAGGGTAGTATAGATATTGTTAACCGTTGATCAATTGGTAGATGTTAGTTGGGGGTGTGGTAAAAGATTTTAAGTGCATCTCCAACCAAATTCTACTAGTCAAGGAGAGTTCTTCATTGTTTGCAGTTGAAGCTATGAGTTTAGGATGGATATACTTCGTATTTCATTCGTCTTACTGCAGGGAATCCTGAAACCAAAATTTCATTATTAAACATATTTAAAAACCATAATTAGACTTATTTAAAAATTAAATATCATTTGTAATTGGCATGAATGTAGATTTATTTACAATAATGAGGAATTCAGTTATAATATTTGATCAACCCAAGTTTGTGGGTTATTACCAACGAGAGAAATCTGTGAGATTTACACAAACACTTAAAGCACAATAGCTCACTAACTTGGGTCAAAATGTCATTTCTCATAATAAAATATTTTGAATGATATCTTGATTATTTATTATTCTTTAAAATTTATTATTTTAGAGATTTTTTCATATTTTTTTCTTTTTATTTATTTCCCGCTCCCTCTCTTGTCTTTCCACAGTATTGGGTTCTAATTTCATTGTCTAAAAAAGATCAAAATTTTGGAATAATCCTTATTTTCTTATATTTATATTCAGGAGTCATGACGTTGGATTGAAATTACAGGAGGTGCTTTCTTCTTCACCTTATTAACATACTGAAATGGACTGTGCCCTCTATTTCCTTCTATCGTTACACAAAGGCTTTGTAATAAGGGTAGTTAACTACAGACCAATAGAGGAAAATCATCTTTGTGAAGGCTGTCGGAACCAGTACCCTTGTTCAAATTCATATGTAGTGCAGTTAGTAATCTCATGTTTGGCACTTTCTAGGACACCACATCTGGAGCACAGAGGATCGACACCATTTTCAAGATTGTGCAACATGTTACAAAAATCCTCATGTCCAATAAGGAATTGAGAGACTCAATAGTAAGGTTGGACATATCTGGCAGCTAGACGAGACTGGTCAGTGGGGAAATACTTCCTTAGGGTAGTCCCTTTAGTATTTGTGATCCACTGACTATTTCATTCCTGAACGATGGTTTCTACCATCTATTAAGTTGTTCCTCAACCCTCACCTGAAGGAATTTGTTACTTTGTATTCCTTTTCATATCAAGGTTTATGCCGAAGATATTGTTCTTGATAAAGTAGATATTTTCTCCTTACCGTCCTACAAAAAAAAAAATATAATAATACTAATTTTTATTTTTTTAAAAACATGTAATGTCCATTGAAAGAAAAATTGTTTTAAATTTTTTTTAACAGAAATGGATTTATATGTATTTTTAAAATCTATTATGGATTCTACCATTAATACCTACTACTGTAAAATAATAATAAATTATATATATATATACTAATTAGTGTATGTTATAGTCAATTTCTGAAGAATCTGCCAGTTCAAAAGAAGATGTTACCAAGAAAGAAAAATCACAGGAATCATTGGATGAAGATTTTAATTTTGAAGAAAATCATGAATTTGTGAGTAACTTCTGTGATTAGTAAGTAAGATAGTTATTATATGAGCCGTTTATTTTGAAAGTGACCTAACTCCATTTAACAATTATTTCCAGTTGACCGTGGTTACATGTACAACTTCAAGTCATCTATCAATAAAACATTTCAGGTTAATAATATTCTGAGTAAATACAATAATTTTGGACACATGAGTTTTCAGGGTTAGTTCAATAATTGATCCGTTTACTTTAAAAGTAGCCTAAGTCCATATATACATAATTATTATTGACAATTTCCGAAGGTAATTTTAAATAATTAGTATTTAATGACTTTACCTCAGGTTTAGGACAATTGCTGTAGTTAACTAATCAGTACGTTTAATTAATGCAGTTAAAAAAAAAAAATGCAATATACATACTAGCAATTAAAATTTAACTGTGAGTATGTATATTGCGTAGATTTAATATTTCCGTATATTTAATAAAAAACAAAAAATTTAATATTACATTTTGGAAATTATTTCACCCATGGGGTTGTACAAAATGACAAGACCATATAGTGCAGGTAGTGAAGAAGAACTAGTACCTGATGATTTAAAGAAAATAAAAAAAGAGAGAGAATTATAGAACAATATTGATCGTCAGGGGATAACAATGGAGAAAAGATTGATGACATATTTTTTTCAAAATTCAAGGACATATTGGACTTAACGGAAAATCATTTCTTCTAATCCCTTTCACACACAGAAAATGTAGATGACTATTTAATTTTTTTGAAGTTTCTGTACTTAAAAAATGTTTTTAATCGCATGAATTATGTTTTTGAAGTGTTGTAAAATAAATTGAGTATTTTTTCAATTTGAAGCATTACACTTAAGCGGTATGACTCATTAGTATCCTGTACATATATTTTTAATTGCATTGAAACGCAAACTCTTAAATATCTCAAATTAAGTATAAATGGACTTAGGCCACTTTCAAAATAAACGGCTCATATGCAAGTATCAGATCAATATTTGACTTTTAATTTTTCTGAATAATTTATGTTACTACAAAGAAAACCTCATAATTTCAATTAGCAGTTAAAATTAATTATTTTTAATGTAAGTTAAAAAATAAGTTATCTGAATTAAGAAAAAAAGGTTATCTAATCCATATTAGATGATTCAAAAATGCTGTTTCTCATATTGTGAAAATAATCTTATTATTTTAGGAAAATTGATATTCCTCACAAGAATAAAAAAAAAAAATCTTTTTTTAGATGCTTTTTTAACACTGTAACTTAATTATATGAGATCAAAAGCCATCTTGTGAAAGAAAAATTTCCCATCTTGCTTAGTTCGGTAGTTTAGTCTATTTTCTCATACTGTTAAGAAATAATTTGAATATTCCAGGTATAAATGTTTATTTTAAATAACCTCCTGTAGATCGGTAAGAAGAAGAGAAGAGCAAAATTTATTCTGTGATGTTTAATCCCCTAAGAATAACAAACATGCACAATGATAATTTGATTATAATATAGATTTGTCTGGCACATAATGGCTGACAAATAATAATTTGGTTACAATATCGTATAACATTAAAATTAAGTACTATTCTAAATAGGATTAAATTATAGGTAAATTGATGTCTGTGTGTTTACATATTTGCATGGTAAGCAATATAAATAATAGTTTTGAATTAATAGTAGAATCAAATTGGTAACATATTTAATTCTCATAAATATACCGAAGATTGATGGCTGAGGAGAAACAATTGGTTTTTAAATGAAGTCAATGATGATATTTTGTGTATGGTGGTGAGTAAGAAATTCCAAAACAAGATAGCGCGTATTATAAAGGATTTAAAAAAACAAAAAAAAAAAAAAAAAAACTGTTTTATGAGAAAGAATATAAAGGTTAGTGAGTTATTCAAACAATGGTCAGAGGAACAAGGAGTGAACAAGTCAAGAAGGTATGAAGGTTTTCTGGTTGTAAAGATTCGGAAAAGGAATACACCTAGGAAATATTGCTTCTTGGAATTACGACTGGAGAAGCGGGAGTGCTTAGGGACTCCATAGATGAATCTAATGAAACAATTCATTAGCCTTTTCAGTCTAACCTCAAGTCCACTAGACAGTCCACTATATACAATGCAGTCATGATCGAAGTTGGGAAAAATAAGAGAGGAAAGTAGAAGCTGGCGGGTTTTCAAAGGGATAGAATCAAGCAATCTCAGAAACTGTTTAAGAGTAGCGATAATTTTAAAGTGTGGGCAACATGGTGATTGCAGGACAAGTGTTGATCAAATATTACCCCAAGGTTTCTAATGGATGTTTGGAAGTGAATAGGTTGACCATTAAGGTAGAAAAGGGAATTAAGAAGATGCTTAGACCCGATGAGAATGGCTTTGGCCTTCTCAATGTGCAGCCTCAGATCATTGTTAGCTACCCATGCGTTGATATTGTCTATGTCTTCTTGAAATATAATAAAGATAATATATCTGTTTTATTTTTTGGCAATTTCTTTGAAGAGACAACATTGTAGAGAATTTTTAACATATTTCTTAAATAGGTGGAAATCTACAATTAATATAATAGCATTCTATCATGTACAGTTTGATTGCAATAAAATTACTTCATAATTTTTCATTTTTGACTTTCTATACTTTGAAAACAAACCTTGTTAGTATTGTACCCATTACATAGGACTTTTTTTTTTGCATTCTTAAATAAATGAATTTCTTACATTTTAAATTTATTTTTTTCATTTTAACTGCCTAAGGTTTATATATGAATCTTTATATAAGTTATTATAAATTTCTTGTAGTGTATAACTGCATTGGAGGGAAACCCCGACATCCCAGCAGACTTGAATGTGGTTGTTCACACTTTACTTCAAAAATACAAGCATGCTCTTGAGAAAAACAAAAAGGGGAAAGAAAAAGCAGAGGCTGATCTTATTAGCAATACAGAGAAACTGAAGAAAGATTTACAGGCATCACATGAAATGAAGAAAGAATTAAAAGAATTGAAAGCAAAATATGAAACTTCGGAAACGGTAATTACCTACCTTTATTTTTCAGTATTATTTTTGAATTTAAATTGATGAATCTATTTTTTTCTAGAGTATAATATAATTTGTGAAATACTCATAAATCCGCTTAATTGATAAATTGAAATTATCAGTCAATTAAAAAAAAAACATTTAAGATATTCTCATCTTGTGATGTTTGTTTTTTAAAAAATCAATTGTTTTTATCACAATGTAAAAATAAAGTAATTTAAAATCAAATTGTTTTGTATTTATGTGGTTTCACATTGAAGCTGATGAATCAAAGCAATTTAACATTAATACAAAAACCAATTATTTTTAAAATTATGACTATTCAATTTTATTGAACAAATCATTACTTTTAAATTTAAAACCTATTAAAAATTGTCTAAATGAATATTTTTTTATATTTCAGACAATTGCAAATCTTAAAAAACAACTTGATGAATCCTATGCTCGTGAGCATGATCTAATTGATGACCGCAATTTAGCTTTGAAAAAAGTTGAATATTTGAACAGTGAATTGGAAAGTAGGCAAGCAGAGGATCAGTTAAGGGAACAGGGGTAAGTTATAACGATATTTTCTTAAATCGTATTTCAGTAAATAAATAAAAATTAATGATAATTAATGTTTTCAACTGCAGCAAAGAAAACAAAAATCTAAAATAGAAGATCAATGAGGGGTGATCAAACCAAGACAAATGTGGTACTCCATGGTACAGAATCCTTTTTATCAAATCTAAAACTTTGTGAATGGCTTCATCTTATCTTAACCTAAACATTTTTATCTACAAAAATGATCAGAAAGGAGGATTTTTCTCATTAAATTAAGTTATTTAATAAGGTACTAAATAATCATGCATACCAAGTTTCTTTCCATGTAAATCGTAAGATAATTTGACTACAAAATCGAAAAAAAAAGTGGCCTATAAAAATATTGGGTCATTTGGCCAATATAACCTTGTTATTTTGACATGTTGGATGTAGATGTAATGCCAAGTTACATCTAATATTTTATGTAGGCCGCCTTTTTTGTCAATTTCTTGACCACATTATCATAGGATTCAAGTGGAAACAAATGGGTGTTAATGAGTTTTTAGTATCTCATTAAATAGACAAAGTTTACCAACCTCCAAATTGAAAACACATCATTTTTTAAGATAAAATGTTGTAGGTCATGAAAACATTCCTGAAGATTTGGACAGATGTTAATAATTTGATAAAAAGGGGTCTGGTCTGTACCGTGGACTACGGCTTCAGAATTTGTCAATAGGTTTTTATTTATTTATTTTTATTAAAGAATGAAAGAGTATTTTAAATTCAGCATGTTTGATATAAGTAATGAAATTATTATCCCTTTTTATATTATTGTGTGTTTTGTGGAATGGATGAAGCTGGGTTGGATGGCAAACTCATTTTTGGATAAAAGTGAAGACGAGAAATTTCTTAAATGACTATTTCAATTAAAGTGTTTATCTAACCATTTAGAATTTATTGAGTTTATTTACTAATAATTACAATTTGGTCCAACCAGATTGTAACATTTATCAATCGAGGCAATAATAATGTATACGATTTACAAAAGCTTTATATTTGTTAGTTAACAATTTTAAATTTTCAAATAATATGAATAGTAAGAATAGAAAAAAATAACCTAAAATACTATAACTAATTCTTATCTAATAACTAGCTTTACTGGGCCACGCGCTGCTGTGGCTTAGACTGGAAAAATGAAAAAGGAAGAAAATAGAAAGCATATATGAGTGGATTAATACCAAAGTACATCTGTAATTTTTAAAAAGTTTTTAAAAAAAGGGAAACAAATTTATTTGAAAAATGGCTTCAATTTAAACTAATCCTAATGTTTTTTTTTTCATGATTCAACTTGAACATTCGTAATCATCTGAGTGAATACGCCTTTATTCTTAATTATCAGAAACAGTCTGAGTTGAACTTATAAAACTAAAATTGACTTTATCTTCCCTTTCTGAAAGTGACAGAAATCCATCCTTTGATATCAAGCCACTCATATATTTTCATATTTTATTTTTTATATTTAATCTATTGTTTAATGTTCAACTATGTGTTGATCATTTTATTCCAAATAAAAATGTAAATGTTTGCTTGTTTAAACTCTTAAATCTCAGAAAGTTCTTCACCCATTGCCTTGAAATTTTGGCTTAACATTGTCTACTATTATAAAATATAAGGTGAAACTATACATATTTATTAAAAACGCACCATCAGTTGAATGTAAAATCAACACGTGCAGTTCAAAATATTTTACGGTACTGTTTCAATGTTAAAGATTTTCAAATATCAATCGTGGCAATGCATTGAAATGGCGCTATAACATTTATCATAGCGTTCATTTCGTGTGCATTAGATCTGCCTTCCACCTTCCTCAAAAAATTTTGCATACCCCTTCTAAGATAGTTGATTGCTTCTTATTTCATATAGAGTTGTAACAATTGTAGTGGAAAAATAAACCATACTCATAAGAGAAATCCTACGGTAAACGGCACAACATAATGTTAGAGAAAAGAATTTATAAAAAAATAAAATAAATTGAAATCAATAAAAACTGATTTCTAAAAGGAACATAAACGGTGATAAGTATTACTCAAAAGTTAAATCTTTTAAAATATTAGCAAATCAAATATTTGAAATGTATCATACTACTTCCAGAATACATTGGGGGGGGGGGAGAATGCAAAATGAATATAAAGAGCATACAATAGCATTGACCTACATAAGGAGAATCATATCACTTCTTCATATGATAATTTCAATTAGTGTAGTAATTATAAAATGTTAGATTAATCAAAAACAAAAAAAAAATCAAAAGGAAATGGCCTTTTCTGAAGAGAAAGTAATAAATGTTTAAAACTCTATAACTCTTCAATGAATCGACTGATTTCAACGGTTTTTCTTTTATTTTGTCGGCAAATCAGGAATCTTTCAAATAAATATGGGTATTATCAATCAAAAATTGTGTACTTTTTTAGTTGTTAGAATATTGAATTCATGGTAACATTTTTCAGCTTGTTTTCGGGAAAGTATGTTATACACATAAATTAAAAGGGTTTTAAGGGAAAACCTTAGCCAAGTTTCGTTAAATTCGTTAAAGCCGTTTTAGCGACACATTTTTTTGCGACTTTGAACAGAAAAACATTTACATTTTTATTTTTTTTACATATATGAAATTATCGTAAGACAGAAGTACTATGCCAGAAACCTTCCCAGAAGTGTACGGAACAGCTTACCAAAGTTTCATGGCGATCGGATGAATGGTTTAGTAATGCATAAAGGACTAACAGACTGACAGACATACATTCATTTATATATATATATATATATATATATATATATATATATATATATATAGATGAACTAATTCTAAAATAAATAATATATACTTTAAAAAATATTAAATGATGTATGTTACAATAAATCAAAAACTGGAAATATCAAGATGTATTTAAATACGTTTAAAGAACATTATTTATCAAAATAGGGCAATAGAAAAATCCTAAAGTATGTAATCTTTAAAGTTAATGATTGTTGAAATTTGGATTAAATTTTACATGTGCCATGTTTGAAATTCAAATTGTGTTTTTGTTATCAGTGTTAGTTCAAAATAATTATGCTTACCTTTGCCCTCCAATCGGGTTCTAGGTGCCCTATTATTTTCCCTTCCTAGGAGTATTTTTTTTTTTTTTTTGTAGTTAAGATTAGAATCTCTGTTAATTTTATCATTTAAATTAAATATTTTTTATATAAAAATAAATGAAATAAAAAATAAAATAAAAAACATAATTTATAGCACATATTATGTTTTTCATAGCTTTGAAGTTACTGCTAAAACACGTGAGAGTTTCACCAAAGAAATAACCAGGCTCAAGCAAGATTTGGATTTGAGCGAGAGCAGATTGCAGCTTTGTTTACAAGACTTAGAAGAACTCCAAAAAAAGTACCAAGAAAAAGAGTCTGAATGTGTGGAATTAGAAGGAATGTTAAAAGTATGTTGTTAATATAAATTTCACAAGAAAATAATTTTTTTCTGTTCTTTTTTTGAGTTTTCCACCCTTTTGATTTTAGTAAACCTTTGAAGTTCAAGTACTGTTCTGTTTATAATACGTTACTTACTTGTCAGATTTCATATTTTTGTATAATTGAGTTAACTATTAAAACCATTAAAGTCTTACTTTTTAAAAGATCAAGATTATTTTACCAATTACATTCTCTCTAATTATTATTATTTATTTCGTATCTGACACACTGAGAAGCTTTTGGTGACCTGCAGCATATTACTTTTTTTTCTGTATTTATGTGTACTTAGGTCATCTATCGCTCCAATATACTCCCCATCTGTTTTTTTTTTTATTTTAATGAAATTTACAACTGCATTACATGGAAAATACAACAAGTAAATGTGACATTGGTAACATGACATGTACAACATGAAGAGAAAAAACTACCCATTGGTAGAACTCAAATTAAAGTTCTATATTAGAAGACCCCGAGGCTATCTTCTTTTTAGACGCCTCGGAGGGTTATCAGGGATCGAGGAGGAAGCAAGGTTTGAAACGAGAGGATTCGGATGGTTCTGCAGTTTGCTATGGAAGGATAGGTATCTGGATTGGGCCAAAAGCGGAAACATGTGGAACATTAAGGTCTTTATGGATGATTTTATTTGTGACAAAGTAAGGAGCATTGAGGATTTTACGAAGGATTTTGGATTGTGAGGATTGGATACGAGAGGAATTCGATGGTTTAGTGGAGCCCCAAAGCTCAATTCCGTAAGTCCAAATAGGTCTTATTATTGCCATATATATGAGTCGTTTGTAATTGATTGAAAGCTTAGAGCGTTTGTCTAGTAAGTGCTGCAGTAGTCGAAAACGTCGGACGGTTTCTAGTCGTTTCAGTCTGGTATTGGGGTTCCAAGTGAGTCGTTTGTCAAGGTGGAGTCCTAAGTATCGGATTTGTTCGACAGGGCTATTGTTGAAGGATACTGTAGGACAAGAAGTCATAGGTTTATGACGAAGAGTGAAGGTAATTTGATGGGATTTATTGGAATTTATTTTAATCCTCCAGTTTTGACTCCATTTTTCAAGACTTGTGATGTGTGATTGAAGAGTTTGGGATGCAATAGATGGATTATTATTAACTGATAGAATACACGCTTCATCGGCATAGGTGGTGATGACAGTGTTGGGACGTCAGCTGTATAAACTGTGTAAAGGATAGGACCTAGGATACTACCTTGAGGAACACCGGCAGACTAAGTAAAAAGAGATGAATAAGTATTGTTATGATTGACTTTGAAGTATCTGTCAGTAAGGCAGAAACGGATAATGAGGAAGTATGTAGGTGGTAGGAATTTACGGAGTTTGTACATCAATCCCGGATGCCAGACTCTATCAAACGCCTGTTCAACGTCGAGAAAGACTCCCGTGCAGTACATTCCGCGCTCCAATGCAGAGGAGATTACATCTACCACACGATGGCATTGCTGAATAGTGGAATGGGATGCGCGGAATCCAAATTGGTGATCTGGGATAACGTGTTTAGAGTCTAGGATGGGATACAGGCGTCTTAAGATGAGTTTTTCCAGGATTATGCCCATAATGGGTAAAAGAGAGATAGGACGGTAAGAGGATGGGTATTCTGGTGGCTTTATGGGCTTGGGTATCATTTTGACAATGGATGGTTTCCAAGAATCAGGAAAATATGTGATTCGGAGTACAGCATTATATATATAGGTTAGGAACAGTATGGCTTTTTTAGGAAGAAATTTTAGGATCTGGGATGTGATTAGGTCATGGCCAGGAGCTTTGCGGGAAGGTAATCTATGAATGATATTGGATATTTCTGAAGAATGAAATGCTTTAGGTGGAGATGTCAATTGGAGTGGGATATCCAATTCTGCTTCAATAAACTCAAGGTCGGTTTGATTAAGAATATCTGGGTGTGGATTAAATGTTTTGAAGAGGTGCTGAGCAAATATTTGAGATTTTTCTTCGTCAGATCTGGACCAGGTTTGGGTTTCAGTAATAACTAGATGGTTAAAATCTTTAAATTTAAGGAGCTTTTTAGTGGTCAACCATAGTGACTTGTCAGAAGTATTAAGTTTTTCTGTCATTTTAAGTAAATTTTGAACTTTATATTTTCTAATTTCAGCTTTTAGTTGGTTAGTTAATTTGTTGTAATATTTCTTATCTGATGGGTATCTAATCCTGTGCCACTTCGATCTTGCTCTGCGTTTTTCCCTTAATAAGAAACGAATATGCTGTGGCAAATTTGTCTGTTGGAAGTTGTCAGTTTTATTGGTAGATTTATAATCGTTTATTTTGTCACTTATAGATGTAGTAAGTACTTCTATGGCTGTGTCAATGTCACGTTTCTTCTTAAGTGGAATATTTAGGTCCAATTTATTTTCCAGATCTTTACGAAATTTGTCCTAGTTTACTCGTCCTGTAATTAGTGTAGGAGAGGACGAGGGCTTAGGAGCAAAGGTTGTGTGTAAAGAAAGCAGATCTGGAGAATGATCTGAGGAGAGATCATCCAGGGATTTGATTGTGACATGGGAAGAGGAAATTTGGGAGGTGACAAATATGTCCAGGATATCAGGGTGTTTTTTGAGGGATGTTGGCCAATAGATAGGATTCATAGGAGAGAGGATAGAGTAACTATTGGAAGTTGAGACAGAAGATAGTATGTTACCACGGGAGTTGGATGATCGACAACCCCATCGTTGGTGTTTAGCATCGTAGTCTCCTCCAGCAATAAAGCGCGGTCCGAAGGATTGAAATAAGGATTCAAGTAAGTTGTAGGAAAGAGTATGACCACCAGGACAGTATACAGCTGAGAATGTTAAATGGAAAGGACGAGTTGAAATGATTACTGATGTTGCTTGAATAGCCTCAGTTGGAGTAGAAGGAATGAGAGAATGGGATAAGGATTTATGGACAAGAATGCAAGAACCAGCATGGGAAGTGTTGTCAGGGTGGTCTGATCTATAAGTGATATAGTCATGTATGTAGAAATATGAACGTCGACTGAAGTGAGTTTCTGTCAGTAGAGCAATATCAATGTGGTAGTCATGAAGAAAAATGTCGAGTTTGTCTCAGTGGTTGTGTAGTCCGTTAGCATTCCATAAAAGAACAGCTAGGGGCTTTGTGCTCATCGTGGGAGATTGAAGGGAATTTCGATAAGGATTCTTGTGAGGAGGGTGATTAGTGGCTTGATAGTTTCTTGGAGATCTTTCAGGAAGGACGCAAGGGAGGAGTTTATTAAATTGATCGGGTTTTGTTGGTCAGGTTGGTTTTGATTAGGAGTTCGTGAGGGAAAGCTCTTATGATAAAGAGTGTCTGATGAAGGATGTACCCTTGGAACTTGGGAAGGAGAGTAAATATGAGCAGTAGGATGGGAATAAACAGGAGTTGAATATTCAGGCGGTAATTTAATACATATACGTATCTGATGAGGAGGCATTTGCTGACGTGGAGATTTTGAATGAATGTGGGAGATGTGAGTCTTGGATTAGGAGGTCTGGATCTTAGGTTTGGAAGTCTGAGTCTTAGGTTTGGAAATCTGAGGCGTCTGATGTCGCGGCTGTTGATTCTTCACCGTGTGTTGTCTGAATATAGTTGCCTAGAGTCTTGATGGGGATGATCTGTTGATGTAGAAGGGTTATGTGTCAGTTGTGGTATTATTTCGTTCGGCAGTTGAGGAAACGCTGCCAAATTTAGAAGTTCAGGTGCCTGTACCTGGGTAGGATTCTTCTGTTCTTCTTTTTTTAATATGTTATAAGTTCTTTGCTTATATGGCTTCTTATAGATAATGCAGCCCCGATAGCTTGCAGAGTGGTCCTCACAACAAAGGGCACATTTTGGTGGTTCAATTAACGGTTTCTGGTAGGTATTAGAGGCGTGAGGCCCGGCGCTATTACGCAACGCACTGAGTGATGACAGTAAGCCTTTGTATGCCCTAAGTTTTGACACTTGGTGCATTGAACGACTATAGGTTTCTGATTCGGCTCTTCAAATTTTACAATAGAATACAGCAGTCTTTTAACATCGAAGATTTTGGAATTATTCCGGGCAGGTTCTAAATCGATGAAAAATAATGGCAGTGGGTATTTATCAATTGGATGTAAAATAGAAGATATATGTCTTACATTATGGCCGATATCTTCCAGATCTTTTTTTATAGTGGTAGTGGGTGTGGTAGAGTGAAGACCTCTCAAAACCACCCTGTATGTTTTGTCTTCTTTTAGTTGATAGTAGTGGAAGTCATGATTGAGTGCTGTCAAGTGATTAATAAGTTTTTTATAATCATCTTTAGTATTGGTGTTAATCTTTATATCGTTGATGCGAGAAAAACACCTGAAGTTGGTCGGTACGATCAGATTAGCTATTTCTTGACCGAACTGAATGAAATTTTCAATCTTGCTTACATATATCGGAGGTGGCTCTGGTTCAGTGAAAGTTCTAGGTTCAGTGATTTCGTTACTTTTATTATTGGCTGCAACAGAATTGTTGCTGGATGTGTTAGTAGGTGGTTTAGTGTCAGGTTTTATAGCTGAATTATTACTATTGCTAGTTTTAGATTGTTTATTTACTTTGACTGATTGCTTTGCTTTAGCAGATTTGTTTTGTTTTTTTATTAGGTGAGTTGCCCGCCGAACCGGGGGCAGAGTTTCTATGGCGCTTTTGGAGAGTTCACCTAGTTAAATATTGAGAATCCGTCTCACTGATTTAGGAGAAAGGAGTCTCTTCATCTGATTCGTCAAAAGAAACGTTCTTATCAGATTCCATACCTCTAAATAATAATATATACAAAAAGAAGAGAAACAAAAAATATCACTAATAAGAAAATTTAAACTAATCTATTTACAAATCTATATACAAATATTAAAAATAACATTTTCTGTAAGTAAATAAAATAGAGTCTCAGTAAAAAAAAATAAAATGAAATAATGAATTAAGAAAAAAAACAGAAAAAAAAAAAAAAATACACTGTCTTACGAACTCAAGATATTCTGAACGTAAAATGACCGTGAACTTGAAAGATAAGACCCACTGAGGGAAATTATCTGCCACGTAAACTGCCTCTAGCAATTGAGCACCAATTTAATGTTGCTAATTGTTAATGAAAAGTCACTCACCTCGCTGATTGTAATGTCAAAATGTTAAATTGTTTATAAATTCACTGTTTACAAAGTCTGAGAACAGGATTTGAAATAATAAGCACATAACAAACTAACAAAGACGGAACGATACGAATATAGAACTTCAGTTTCGGCCATGACACTTGCGACTCTCCCCATCTTTAAATCCCACCTATTCAATCACTTCCTATCGATCCAGTTCCCGGTAAATTTTAAATAGGTGTTTCTGTAAATATCTATATAAAATATTATTTAATTTTTAGTATTATATTTTCATGTTTCTTTCATTTATTAATGAATGCTAAGTTAAATAATAATTTATTATTTGTTTATTTTATTATTATTTTTCTTTATATCTGAATTTTTAATTCCAAAATTCTGTAACTGTATTTTATTCTTAAGGTACTTATCCTGTAATAAATAAAGAATATTATTATTAATAATTGTTGATTCATTCTATTTCAGGGAAACAAATACAGTGTTTTGAAAGAAATACAGAAATCAAAGATTTTACAAGCTGATTTGGAAAGAGTTACTGAAGAAATGAGGAATTTGAAATTGACTGTTGCTAAACACTACAAAACATTCAAGAATGCAAGTCAGGAGTTAGTTAAAATGGATGAGGAAGTTTTTGAATTACGGGTAATAAAATCCTTTAAATCCATTATTTTTATTGCCCCTTTGATACAAATTTTCTGAGTAATGTATGAATTTAATTCATCAATTATGAATGAGCCACATGTACTGAATCTAAGACCATTCACGGGTTGTATTGGAACTGGATTTTTTTATATTTAAAAACTCATAGTAAATGAATGTCGCAGCAGGAAAGATAGTAAAAGTTTATATTTTTTTTTTCAGAAAACAAATAGAGAGCTGTTACACCAGAATGAAGGCATGGTTAAACTAACGAAAGAACTGAAGGAACGCTTAGAATTAGGAGAAAAAAAATATTCTAAAATTGATGATGAGTACAAGCGGTTGAAAAACATGAGTGCTGTAAAAATTTTATTTATTTCATCCTATGAAGAGCTTAGATTGTCAAATTTGTAAATATAAAATTATATCTACTTTTGTTTTAGAATCAAACTGGCAGCCTAGGCATCATAAAAAAGAAGTCTGTTGGAGTAGAAAAAATCCGAGAGGTATGGCTAAACAGGATCATCAGTGCTGATAAAAAAAAGAATAAAGCCATTAAAGATGCGCAATTCCTCTATCATCAAATGAAGGACATGTCTCATGAAGAGAAGAAAACAAGACTGTCAATAATAAAATTAAATAGAACAATTTCCAATCTTAAAAGGGAGAACATGATACTATCTAAACAATTGAAAAATTTACATGGTAGTAAACATTTATTTATTTTTACATTAAATTTTTTTTTATTGCTTTAAATCTCCATATTCGTTGCGCTTCTAAATTAGGAGTGGATCCAGAAGTTATTTTCCTAAGAGGAATTATCAGGGTACCCACATAATTGGGGTGAAATATAACCATTTTTTTTTTTGGAGGAATTGTAATTAATTAATTATCTATTTCAAGGATCTCCAAACGACCTGAAAAAATTTCTTTGATTACATGATAAAATTTTAGAAACTGTTTATAAGTTCAAAATTTAAAACACTCAAACACAAAGTTACTACAACATCTATCACATGATTTGTTCGTCTTAGAAAGCTCATTTTATAGCTGAAGTGTCATTATAGAACAAGATTTTTTTTTTCCATCACAAACTGAGGCCTATGGACAAAAATGTTTGAAGACCCCTAATGTATTTCATATCTTGAACTGTTTAAAACTGTGGAAGGCGTGGCCAAGACAATTAATTAATTTCATTGATGCATATTCAACGATAGATTTCTCACAACTTTTTACATTTTCCCTACTTAATGAATGATAATTTATTCATTAATTAAAATATTGGAACTTATAGTTATATATTAAATAGTTTTATTTTTTCATTTTTTTTTTCTCAATGGATATTTTGGAAGGGAAAATTTTCTTTTTTTCCACCTTACTAACTTGTATATTGTAAACAATCTTTGAGGGAAGTTTAAATAAAGCTTGGCTATTTTATTTACTGCTCACATGCATGTGATCTCGTTAGCTAATAAACTAGTTAGCCACAAGTATCACACCCAATCCACCCAAAAAATATGATTTAAACCGAATGTGGCCAATCCAAATGGATTCACAAGCCACTTTGATCACTCGTAATATAACAAAAGGCTGCATTTTGTAAGAACTTGTAAAAAAAGTACAAAATGTTATTGGTATACTATGATTCAATAAAATTGACTGTTGAATCTTAACTAATGAGATATTTGTTCCTCTTTACTTTTAACAATTTTTTTTATTCTTTTCAAAACAAATGTTGCAAATATAAAATAGTAACACCTGTGTATCATATCAATGACAAATGCAAATTCACATTTATTTAATATTTTTATAATGTTCTTAGTAAATTATCTTAAAAGTTTATATTATTCTATTTAAATAAAAAATGTATTTATGATTAATTAATTTTGATTTTTTTTTTTTTTTTTTGCTAATTCAACACTTACTAGACTAACGCATTCGTCTAAACTTCCATTAAACGATAAACGACTCATTTACTTGACTATAATAAAGCCTATTTAGACATTTGATCAATTAAGCAGTGGTTTTAAGCTCTCCTCTTCCTGAGATATGAGAAAATCCGTTAAATTGATGAGATTCATTTAATCAATGAAGAGGTTAAAGTGATATATCAGTAGGCATATTTGATTTATAAAAGGTTACAATTGAATTGAAAAAGGTTATGGTTTGATTTTGGTACATTATTTTTAATATTTAAATGTTATATTTCAGTTGTCGTCGATCAACAACAAAAACAAGCCGATGAACGAAATCAAACTTTACAGCAAGTGACAGAAGAGTCCAATAAAATTAAAGCTGAAAAAGATGTTCAAGAAAAAGCTCTTAATAAATTTTTCAGAATCAAAGAAAAGCAAGTAACATAGTAAATACATTGTGTTATATTTATAGATTATAATTGTAATATAATTATAAATAGGTTATAATTTTAAAAAAAATTAAGTGTAGGACAGAAAAGAAAAAAAAGAATTGCTTATGCTTAAGAGCACATGATAGCAGTGAAAACATCAAGGCAGAATTAATAACATTAAATATAACTTTTTTTTCTGTATTCTCAAAGTAATAGAATTTATGATATATAGAATTATAATTGTGCATTGAGTGCAATAAAAAATCGAATAAAAACACTTAATTTATTTTTTCTTATTTTTATGGCTAATAAAAATATATCTATAGTGACTTATGCAAATTGGTTTCTGAATTCTCCATGGTAGTAAAAGTTTGATATATTTTAGTCCAAATGTTCAAAACAGTCATTATTTGGTTTTTTGGTGCTATCTTTTCCCCTTTCTGACTCTCTTAATTGGCATCACGTCAAGATATAATGTTGAATAATAGCTCATTACAAAGAGGAGGAAATTTTGAACATTTTCCTCACTTTCAATATCCAGATCTGACTTTCAGTTTCTGAGATGTTTTAATCCGAATGCAAAAATTAGTTGGCTCCGTCTCATTTAATAGTCACAAAATAAAGTGACAAGTCTGCCTAAAGAAGTTTTCAATTCAAAAAAGTTGTAAAAAGCCAGAGAAACAAAGTATCATAATACTTCCTTATACTACTTTTTTTTTGTGATTTTATATCTTAAAAATTATTTATATGCTTATATTTTTTATTTTTGTGTTTAACGTCTTTTTAAACTCCGACCTAGAACAGGAGTAGTTCAATCCTACAGGCTACCAACATATTTTAGACTGAATGAGAAGGTTGAGTTTTATTCTGTGGACCAGCCCTTTAAATAAATTTCAACCTGCCCTGATTGGATTTAAACCAGAGCTTATGACTTATGACTTATGAAAGCTAAGTCGCAGCCTTACCAGGCTCAGCCAACAGGGTCTTGGATATATTTAATTAATATTGTCTGAATTCAGTTGATTGTTTATGATCTTGTTGTATTACATATACCATATCATAAGAAAGGGGATGTATCGGTATGTAATAACTACAGAGGCATCTCTCTCCTTCCCACTTCATACAAAATTTTATTCATTATACTCTTCAATAGACTGCTTCCATTTGCCGAACAAGAGCTCGGAAAGTATAAATCTGGATTCCAAAAAGGAAGATCTACGACAGATCAAATGTTTACATTACAAATCCTGTTTGAGAAACCAATACCAGATACATACTCACCACCTGTTCATTGATTTCCAACAAGGTTACGATTCCATGAACAGAGTAGAAGCATATAAGGCAATGGTGGATATGAGCATCCCTACCAAACTGGTTTGTCAAGTAAAAATGACGATGGAGGACAACGTATGCTTTGTTAGAGTGGGCGGAATGCTATCAAGAGGATTCACAACAAGGACAGGTGTGAGGCAGGATGATGACCTAGCCTGTTTAGTGTTCAACTTTTCTCTTGAGAAAGCTATTAGGGACTCTGGTATCCAAGTGACAGGAACACTTCTCAACAAGACAGTCCAGATTTTAGGATTTGTGGATGACTTGGATCTTGCGGGAAGGACTCTAAACGCCATAAGAGAAGCTTTTAAAACATTAGAGGAGTCTGCAGCAAGACTGGGCCTAATGGTGAATGTTGAAAAAACGAAATATATGTGCACCCTACCTACCCACGAGGATGGTGGGAGTCATGTCTCGATAGGTTGCCATAGATTTGAAAGAGTGGAATCATTCATATACCTAGGATCCCAGATCAACCGTAATAACTGCATTGAAGAAGAAATCCAAAGAGGGATCCTCTCCGCAAACTGCACCCATTTCTCCCTCCATAAATTCTTGAGTAGTGTGTTGTCGAAGGCCTCGAAAGTGAGAATTTATAAGACAATCATATAAGGGGGCATGGTGGCCGAATAGGCTAAAGCGTGTACACAGCACCGCGAGTTGCCTGGCAACTGGATAACAATGATTCGAGATGATTAATAAAGTACGAGTTCGCGTCCCGGTGCCGGAGGGGATTTTTAATTCCCCGCCCCCACCCCCTCCGGCCCGGGAAAATCCTGTATAGCCTAAAAGGCGAGGTAGGGAAGAACAAAAAAAAAAAGACAATCATATGACCAGTTATTACATATGGCTCAGAATGTTGGACTGCAACTAAAGCCCTTGAGCATCTCCTTTTCTTTTTTAAAAGAAAAGTGCTTCACCGTATATATGGTGGTATATATGAAGGAGGCACGTGGAGAAGAACGAATGATGACCTAAGAGCAAGGTACAAGGAAATAGACATATCAACATTCGTAAAGGTATCAACACTTCGCTGGGCTGGTCACGTCATAAGGATGGATCCGAACGAAGTTCCTTACAAGATCTTAGCTGGGCAAATGTATGGTACCAGGCTTCATTGGGAAGACTGCATGGCTGCAGATGCGAGATCTCTGCTCGGTGTTATGAACTGGAAGGCAGCAGCACGGAACAGGGAGGACTGGCAGTCTAAACTTGAGCAGGCTATGACTGAACTAGTGGGTCATAACGCTGAATAAGAAGAAGTATTACATATACTACAATTTTTTTTATTTATAATTTTTATTTTCTTTCTATAATTTTTTAAAATTTTATTGTATGTAAAATAGCTGATTTAAAACCATTTACTCTCAACAGGGACATGAAAGAAAAAATGATTCTGGAGCAAAGTTTTGAAAAAATGAAAGCTGACTTTGCTGTAACTTCACTGGATAACTCGAGGCTGCGCAAGGAACTGGATGAGAAGAACGCAGATATGAAGCAAATGGAAAACTCATTCCATTCTCTAACAACAGAGAAGAAATATCTTTATAAGAGGCTACTCGAGTCTCAGGTTCTTTTGCAACTTTTATTTAAAGAATAATTCAATAAGGTTGTCAACAACCTTTCTAAAGATATTAATGCGTTGCATGCATTATTGGTTATTTTTAATGATTTATAAATTATAGGGACAGATAACAGATTTACAGAGTAAATCTAAGTATATTTTTCAAGAAATGGAATTAGTAAAAGATCAGTTGCATAAAAAACAGCTAGAATATGAAAAACTGCAAACCAGTAAGTTTAATTTAATTTTTGTTAAGCACATCATTATATTTACATTAAACTTGTATTTATATTGGAATATTTTCTTTTGTCTATTTTTATTCCTTTCCTTTTATTTATTACATTACATTTATTACATGACCTTTAAATTAATATTTTTTTCAAAATTTATAATCTCCATTAATCAAATAACAAAACTGAATATTGAAGAAATCCAACATGTTAAAATAAATTGAAACATGAGTGCACTATCTTAAAATGTCTTAATATTTTTAAAAATATGCATATAATTTTATAATCACAAAGAAAAAATGAAATGTAACTATGGAATCACCTATTATTGAATAAATTTATTTCTTTAGTAGAGCAAAGTTGAACAGAACAGTATAATCTCTTAAACAAATTTTCAGAGATCACCCATGCACTTAAAACATTTTTTTTTTTTTTTAATCGAAAGATGCATTAAACAGTTCTATTTTTATATATTTTTTTCCCCATTGTTTTATTTAATTTGTTAATTTTTACTATTATATCAAGATAATTTTCTTCTTTATTAATTATGATAGTATTTAAGAATCATAGATCATACATATCATTAGTTTATTGCAAAAGTCACAAAGGGACAAAAGTCATAATTAAGAACTTTGAAGAATTTCCCTTTAGATAATTGTGCTCTTGTTGTAACTATATTTGATACATACAGGTAGTTTATGTTATTTTCATGCACTTATGTTGAGTTTATATTGATTAATAAAGTTGAAATTCACAGACACTTATACAAAGATTAACCTATATCAAAAGTGCACTTATGTTAATGAGTTTTTTGAGTCGATATGTACTAAAAATTTTATATCTTTTATGTATTTCTGTTTTATTATTGTATCCATTGAATTGCCATGATTGGCAAGAGGTTTCAACAGCCTGTTACTGCTTGGTGTTTTCTTCCTTATAGCAGAATCAGCTAATTTATGTTAAAAATATTATTCTTAATAATTTGTAAATATCATTTTAAGAAATTAAAGTTAACTAAAACAGTGAATTTTTATTTAAAAAACAGGTAACAGAAAAGATGTATTTACAAAGGACACTATGATATTTAAACTAGATAGCTGCATGGATAACAGAAAAACTCTCTTGAAAACAATAGAAGAAAAAGATATGGAAATAAAACAACAAATTGACGTAATAATAAAAAGGGATGATCATATAAAAGAACTTCAACTGGAATTAGAAACGGTATAAACATTTACTTGTTAATTTCATTATTAGTAAATATTTCAAGGGCAAGTTGCCTGATAAGCTAACATATTGCAACTTTAATTTATTTCTCCCGATAAATTTTTGGGAATTCGGTGTTCCCTAAGAAGAAGAAAAAAAAGACATTTTTCCATTGAGTATAGCACAAAAACGGCTTGATGAAGACTATAGCCAAGTTTCATTAAAATTGTTATAGCCGTTTTAGCACTACAGTCTATAGCAACACGTTTTTTGGCCACAATTTTGAAATGAAAGTCTGGATGGTAATGAAATATATATGAAAACACTTCTTGCAACGTTGTATAATAATTTCAAAGCAATCGGTGAAGAACATTCTGAGGTTAGCCGTTTTTAATAAACTAACATTTAAATTTATATACACTGTTTCCAAAATGTTTTTATAGATAACACTAAATCTCATCAAATAACCTCACTAATAGTAAGTAAACAAAAAAAAGGAAAAAAGATAATTGGTTTAAAAATGGGCAAACTGTACTGAATCATTTTGTCTTTGCCAATTTAGATAATCATGATACCAGATCATTTGTACATAATTTCCCAAACTAAGTCTCCAACTTTGGGCTAAATAAAGTAAACTGTTTTTGTAATATAGACGTAGAGAGTTTAATACATTGGGAATTTCTTGGCCAACCTATCATTTTTAGGCTAAACTGTTTTTAAGACAAGGTTAACTTTTTGATAAACGTAATTCAAAACTGGTTCAAACAAATTTCAAAAGGAAACTAGCAATAAATTGTTTTTAGGGTAATAATATTTAAGTCCCAGAGTAAATTAGATTTGGTTTAATCCAAGACTAGATTAAAATTCGTATTAGCAACTATATTTAAGAATGGGCTCAGATCAACAATGCCAACTTCTTTAGTTCTGCCTAGTCCATATAGCTGCCTGAATTTGAGAATCAACTAGATGGATAAAATATAACTTGACAGGCTAAAGTCCTGGGTTAGAGCACATCCTATAAAATCATTATGTAATACAAATTTGGAACTGTCATTATCATGTTTTATATTGCATACTGTCATTATATTATCTTTTCTATTTGTTACATCCACTTTAGCTGAAAAGACAATCGGGGGATTTGAAAACAGTAATACAAAAGAGAAATGCAGAGTTATCATTAGTATATGAGAAAACGCATCTAATGACATACATTTTAAATAATGGAGAAGAACAATATCAACAAAGGCTGAAAGACATTGAGCTATTGAAAAAAGAAGTCAGAAAACTCAGGTATACTTTTTATATTTTTAAATAAACAATTATTTTTAATTTCACTTCCCTATATATGTAATATACAGTAAGGGAAAGTATTGCGAACATGAAAATTTTTGAATCTGAGTTTTCAACGGAAATACACATTTTGAGGTCCCCTGAGTCCAAATAACCAAGTCCCACAAACTCGTCTGTGTTTCTAAGTTTATATGAACAGTCTTGCTCAAAAATGATGATATAACGTATTTAAGATAGGTATATACCTTAGATGTGACTGCAACTTTTTCCTTAAAATCGGCTAACCAGAAGTACCACTTTATATCAACGTTGAAACACATTTTTACAATTTTCTTAAAAACAGCTCTAATGATTTTGATTAAATACGGTGTATCATTGTACTGGGCTTAAATGTTGATATATGTCTTCCTCTAAAGTACCTTTAATATGCTGTATTTAAAAAAATGAACTTTCTTTTATTGACTATAAAAAATGGCTAAATATGTAGTTTGAAAGAATATGATAATTGGAAAAAAGAAAAATGCTTATCCAGGTCGAAAATGAATCTCTAGAAATAATAGTCAGAAGGTATACATATAATACATCATAGGAAAGCGGAGAACTTTAGAAAAAATAATATCAAATAAGTAAAGTTGTATAAGGTAATGGAGAGTGACAAAAAAATATAAATAATAATTTCAGAAAACTAACATTATTTAATATAATCACATGTTTCCAAAGAAATTAAATTTTCTTACTAAATGTAAACTTTTAAATTTTTTTCGAAATTTGAAAAATAAATTATTTAAAATCCACCGAATCAAGCCATTGTTTAATTACTATTACATTGTACTTGTGTGAAAGAAGAAGTGAAATATCAAAATATTTCATGGATATGTTTATAACCTTAAATAAATTTACTGTAGTTTAATAACTCCAAATATGATATTATATTTATATAATTAGGAAACCACCGTGACGAACTAGACATATTTCTCCATGACAATTATATTGACATTGCCCTCCTAACAGAAACTCACTTCACCCAACGGACACATTTCTACATACGTGACTACATCACCTATAGATCTGACCACCCAGACAACACTGCCCACGCCGGTTCTTGCATCCTTATCCACAAATCTTTACCCCATTCCCTTATTCCTTCTATTCCAACAGATGCCATTCAGTCAACTTCTGTAATCCTCTCAACTCGTCCTTTCCATCTAACACTTTCAGCTATATACTGTCCTCCTGGCAATTCCCTCTCGTACAGCCTACTTGAATCCTTTTTACAATCCCTCGGATCGCGCTTTATTGCTGGAGGAGACTACAATGCTAAACACCAACGATGGGGTTGTCGATCATCCAACTCCCGTGGTAATACCCTTTCACAAGTTTCTTCTTCCAACAATTATTCCATCCTCTCGCCCATGAATCCTACTTATTTTCCAACATCCCTCAAAAAACGTCCCGATATCCTGGACATATTTATCACCTCCCAGATTTCCTCCTCCCAAACTATAATCAAATCCCTGGATGACCTTTCTTCAGACCATAGTCCAGTTCTGCTTTCACTACATTCTGACTTTGCTCCTAAACCATCACTTCCTAAACTGATCACTGGACGAGTAAACTGGGACAAATTTCGTGATGATTTGGAAAACAAACTAGACCTCAAAATCCCGCTAAAAACAAAAGAAGACATTAACGGTGCCATAGAAAAACTGACATCATTAATAACAGACAGTATAAATAATAACACCTTTATCAATAAGATTAACTTCCCACAAAATACTAACTTGCCACAGCATATTCGCATCTTATTACAGGAAAAACGCAGAGCAAGATCGAAGTGGCATAGGACAAGATACCCAACAGATAAATCGCATTACACACAACTGACTAACAAACTGAAATCAGAAATTAGAAAATACAAAATTCAAAGTTTACTAAATTTTACTGAAAAACTTACAACCACTGACAAATCATTATGGATGACCACCAAAAAACTTCTTAAGTTTCAAGACTTTAATCACCCACTACTTACTGATTCCCAAACCTGGTCCAAATCCGACGAAGAAAAAGCCCAACTATTTGGACAACATCTTTTCCAAACTTTTAACCCACATCCCGATATCCTTAATTCAACTCACATCAATTGTATTGAAGCAGAACTGGATATTCCTCTCCAAATGTCTCTGCCACCCAAAGCATTTCATCCCATAGAAATATCCAACATCATTCAAAAATTACCTTCCCGTAAAGCTCCTGGACATGACCTAATTACATCCCAGATCCTAAAACTTCTTCCTCGAAAAGCCATCCTATTCCTTACTTATATATATAATGCTGTACTCCGTTCTACATATTTTCCTGATCTTTGGAAACGATCTATCGTTAAAATGATCCACAAACCCAAAAAACCACCAGAATACCCATCCTCTTACCGTCCTATCTCTCTTTTACCCATCATGGGCAAAATCCTAGAAAAACTCATCTTAAAACGCCTGTACCCTATCCTAAATTCTAAACACATAATCCCAGATCACCAATTTGGTTTCCGAACTTCCCATTCCACTATACAGCAATGTCATCGTGTGGTAGACGTAGTCTCCTCTGCATTGGAGCGCGGAATGTACTGTACGGGAGTCTTTCTCGACGTTGAACAGGCGTTTGATAGAGTTTGGCACCCGGGACTGCTGTACAAACTCCGAAAATTCCTACCACCTACATACTTCCTCATTATCCGTTCCTACCTTACTGATAGATACTTTAAAGTAAATCACAATAACGCCTATTCATCCCTTTTTTCCCAGTCTGCTGGTGTTCCTCAAGGTAGTATCCTAGGTCCTATCCTCTATACAGTTTATACAGCTGACATCCCTACCTGTCCCAACACTGTCATCACCACATATGCTGATGACACATGTATCCTATCAGTAAACAATGACCCAGCAATTGCATCCCAAATGCTTCAATCACACATCATAAATCTAGAAGAATGGTGTCAAAACTGGAGAATTAAAATAAACTCCAATAAATCCCACCAAATTACCTTTACCCTTCGTCGTAAACCAACGACTTCCTGTCCTACAGTTTCCTTTAACAATACTCCACTTATCCCTGTTGAGCAAATCCGATACCTAGGACTCCACCTGGACAAACGACTAACTTGGAATCCTCATACTAGACTGAAACGACAAGAAACCGCTCGACGTTTCCGATTACTTCAGCACTTACTAGACAAACGCTCTAAACTTCCCATTAATTACAAAAGACTTATATACTTGACTATAATAAGACCTATTTGGACTTACGGAGTTGAGCTATGGGGCTCCACTAAACCATCGAATTCCTCTCGCATCCAATCCTTACAATCCAAAATCCTTCGTAAAATCCTCAATGCTCCTTACTTTGTCACTAATAAAATTATCCATAAAGATCTTAATGTTCCTTATGTTTCAGATCTGGCCCAATCCAGATACCTATCCTTCCATAATAAACTTCAGAATCATCCCAACCCTCTCGTTTCTAACCTTGCTTCCTCTTCAATTCCTGATAACCCTCCGAGGCGTCTGAAAAGAAAATGGCCCCGTGATCTCCTAATATAGTCATATCATTAGAGTGCTACCATTGGGTAGTTACTCAGCAGGTGTATTCATGTCATTATATCAATTATGTCCAAATTTACTTGATGTATTTATGTAATACAGTTGTAAATGTCATAAAGAAATAAAAAAAAAAAAAATAATAATAATTAGGTATTTATTGGCCGTTTGTTAAAAAAAATTATCAAGTAACCTTTTAGAAAATTCAATTAGTGAATAATTTGATGAATTTTCCCTTTATGAAATCCCAACATTATCTGCTTACAATTAGTGTGATAAATTTTGACCCATCCATGGCGGACGATGAAAAATAAGTGTTTAATAATTAATAGTTCTACAATCGATAATCATTTATAGGTTAAATATTCAGATATACTTTTCCAGGCACATATGAGCCTTTCGGTTGACAGAATGAGAACATTCTTTATTATTAATTTTAGTGATGTTTCTAGTGGCAAAATTTATACCATTATTCTCAGTTCAATATTTCAACACTGCAATCACTTACTCTGGAATCAACTTGTCTGTACAGATACAACTTTTCCAACTACAAATATCATTAAAATGACTTACTCAAAAATGTTGAAATTGGAGTTAGTCATTCTGTCAACTGAAAGGCTCATAGACTAAAGTTGTGTGGTTTATAAAAGCAGCCCAACATTTCCAGAAAAGTAGAGCGGTAAGCGAAAGTTGTGTTGCACGCACCAGATTTTTTTCTTTCATTTAGTTTATTTTTACAAAATCCATCAATTCCTTTCCCCTATCTACTTTCTCATTATCCATTTGAATTTCTCCCACGGACCATTCACAGTAAACCATAATGGTGCTTATTCATATCTCTCTTCTTAGTCTTTATCTCAGCTGATGTTCTTCAAGATAATATCCATGGTCCCGTGTTCTGTAAAGTTTATTCAACTGACATTCTAACTCATCCTAACACCATCATTTCCACTTATACTGATAATACATATGTGTTATCAGTTAGTAATGACTCATTTATTTCTTCTCAAACTCTTATTAATAAAATATTTTGTTTTAGGGCTGACAAGAAGCTTCTGATAAGTCTTGCTGAAAATACTCCAAACCTTAGGTTGGAGATGTTCCATCTGCATAAAGACTTATCAAAAGAACGTCAAAAATGTCGAGCATTGGAGGAACAAATGGAAAATCCTCTAAATATACACCGTTGGAGGCTTTTAGAGGTGAGGTGATTTTCATTAATTATTTTAATCAAAATAAATTTGTAATTTTGACAGCCCAAAATACACACCCTCAAAAGAGATGCCATTTATATAAGTTAATTTTTTCTTCTAAAGTAATGAGCATCTAATTATGTTCCTTTTGCTCCTGACATTAAAATAAAAAAAATATTAAATATTGGATTATTTTCTTAAGGGGTATGGATTTGTTATGACAAAAAACAAAATCTAAATAAATTCCAGGGGAAAGATCCTGAGAAAAAAGACTTAATAGAAAAAAATCAGATCCTTCAAAAGAAATTACTGCGAGTTGAGGAGGACAACGGGATCATCAGGGAACAGTGTGCCAGCATGGAGATGCTTTATCTCAATATGAGGACTTACCTCAATAATCTTCCGGGGAGAGACGCAGCGCAATATTTGGAGACGGCCAGGCGCAATCTGAGGGACAAAACCAGAGAGAACAAGGTAAGGTAAATGCATCATTAATACACACTGTTCTAATAATAAACAGTTTTCAATTCATGTTTTACAGAATAATTTCTTTGTGATATTTCAAAACATTCATAAAATCTAGCTATAGATATAACTGAAATTGAGCTATCAAATTTAAATTGGCCATCCATTCCCTCAAAAAAATTTTAAATACCTATTAGCAGATTGATTAAAACACATTTTATAAAATAATTTGTCGGGTTTTTGAACTCCAATTGTTTAAAAACACTCAACAGCCTTGTAGTTGACATCCCCCGGTATTTACTCCTTTATGTGACATTGTGTGAGAGAATGAGAAGCAATATATAATATATAGGAATGTGAGGTTGCACTGTGAATTGTACTTAATTATGCAGTTGACAAATTATTCATGGAAATATCTCATATCGATAAGCAATCAATGAAGAAGGACATTGGAAAAAGGTCAGAGCAGGTAGCTAGCAACAGCTGGCAGAAAGAGGCAAGGGCACTTGAGGCTAGGACACGGAGGCGAGAGGACGCTAGGCCTGGACAGGAAGAAAGGAGGTTGTCAGAAGAGAGAGATACTATATTGAAGACTAATAATTCAAGCCTACAGTTATAAGACTTTTATACATTCATTTATTATAGTTGTAAAATAAATTGTTTTATTATACAGGAGTGAAAAGTCATTTATTTATTTAGTTGTCCTATATGCCTCACGATTGAAGAATAAACCAAGTGAGTCAATTCATTTAAAGTGTATTTACTAAGTCCCACATCATATATGTATTCTTATTGTTTCTCCTCACTCAGTATCACAAAAGGTATTAGATTCCCGAATTCCCAACAACAGTTAAACACCCTCAAAAAGTCAATCCAGTGCCGGGGTTTTCTTTTAATATTCAGGAGTGTAAATAACCTAGTTCCTCGATATAAAAGCGGAAGGCTATTTACTATTCCCGCCAAAACTAATTATTTACATTTAACTTTTAACAGATTAGTTACAGCTTCACCAAATAATTTGAGCCATAAAACTTGAATGTCGATCAATCGTTGAACTTAAAAAAATGTTACATACCATTTAGCAAACAATCCAAACATATGATATTTCATGTAGCTTTGCCGTAGTCTGGTAAAAATACTCCTAAATTATTGTTAAGTTAAAATTAAATATTTATTTCTTGTTTTCTCTTTATTATAAGATGTTATTTCTTTGCAGGTGCTGTCTGCAGAGCTCTCTGCTTATGAGAACGAGCTAGCACGCCTTAAAAAACAGATGGAAGATATAAAACGAGGATCTAATGAAATAAAGGAAAAATATTATGAAATCGTGAGTAAATTTTATTATTGAAAATAAAAGATTAATATTAAAATTTATCTGAAGCCTTCAAAGTTCAAACAGGCTTACGGCAGAAGGACAGACTATCATTGATGTTCAATTACCCTGGAGAAGGTAATAAGAACAACATCACAGGAAAGTGCAGGCGTCCACTTCGGAATGAATCATAAAATCCTTGAATACGCAGATGATATAGCTGTCCTGGGAAGTAATCAAGAGGAAATTGAGAAACTTGCTAAGACTTTGATAAGAGAGGCAGAGCAGATCGGCCTACAAGTAAATGAAGACAAAACAAAATATATGATGATAAGCCGAAAATTCCATACCATTAACAGGATTTGCGTAGAAGAAAAATCATTCTTCTCAACTCCACAATAACTTGAATGAATGACCAATGGGCAGAAATAGACCAGTACATAACTAGCACAAACAGCTTTTTTCTCCCTTTTAAAGATATTGAAATCCTGAAAAATCTCCAACTAGTATACAATACTATGACAAAGCCAGTTCTAATAATTGGCTGTGAGACCTGGACACTAAACAGCACCCTACAAAAAAGTGTTGAAAGATTTGAGAGAAAAATCCTCCACACGATAACTGGAGCGATCTTGGATCAGTGTACTAACACATGGAGAAGGAAGACCAATAAAGAACTGCTTACAGAAACTAGTCAATCAATATTCCATGATATGAAGACACGGAAGTTGAGATGGGCGGGACATGTAGCTCATAGCAATCCATCTGGAAGGCTTTACATAACAATTAATGCCTCAATAGAAGGCAAAGGACCATGTGGAAGGCCAAAACACAGATGGATAGATAGAATCAACAAAGATGCAATAGAAATGCATGCAGATAAATGGAAAGAAATAGTTCAAGACAAGCAAAGATGTAGCAGGCTTGTTAAGATGGCAAAAGATCAACATCGTCTGTAATGCCAACAGAAAAAAAAAAATTAAAATTATTATTTAATATATAACACTATTTATTGTTAGTAGTAGTTTTATTAGATGTAGCATACCAATCTAGAAGTGTCTAGATTTCTTTACCTTAGAGGACATCTGAAATGAGCAGGGTTGCCACCTATGCAGTATTTCATGGGATACAATTTTCTCTGTATTTAGTACATTAGATAAAAAATGGGTCTTCATTTTTAAGAATGCGTTTTTTAACATCCAAAACTTAGCATATACCTTTACCGATTGTTTAAAACCAAAATCCTCTTTACGTTCTCGATTTGTTCACCCTTTGTTCTTCTTTCCGTTCTTAAAACACGAGATTACAGCCAACAAACTTGTATATTCCTCCTCTCTGCTTTGTCTGAAAAATCCTTTATCTTGCATGCTACCTTGCTTTGGAATTCCTCACCCACCTCCATAGATAAAATCTCATCTTTAACTTTATTTAAACACACATTATTTCTCCTTTCTTTCACTATCAATCTTTGGAGTATATGTAAAAATAAATTTGTTGGAATAGTAACATTACCTATTGATTATTTTAAAGTTATTGCATCGCTATAATTTGTATTATTTACAAGTGCAAAGTTGTAAACAAACTAAAGGAATTTCTTAATTTGTAATGCCATTATTGCGTACATTTACTTATATTAGTTTTTGTTTTATCTTATAATTTAATTATGTTGTAACTATCGATTTCATCCCAGAATAAAATTAACTTTTCTTTTTAACAAAAAAATTATATTAAATTTTGAGATTTTTTATAAGTCTCCAAATACTTCTTGTTTGCATATTTTTAGTATTTTTTCTTTTCAAAATTGTGTTACTAGTTATGTTCCTTTAAAAAAAAAATGTATATCATATATTATAGTTTTTTTTGCTTTGCTTAGCCTATTGTGTGCGTGATAACCATCAGCTGTTCGAAAATTCACTAATTATTAAATTTAACCTCCCTGGTCACAAAGAGCTAAAAGGTGCCAACCCTGGATATGGGATTATTGGATAAGATTGTTTAATATATTTATGAAAGTAATATTTTTGTTTTACAGAAAAAAAAATGTGGTCAGAAAATAATAAACAATAACCACGAAATGAGATATGAGTCATCGAATTCAGAGCTCCAAAAACGAGAAGTTAGAAAACCAAGAATATCAAATCGAATTGGAGTAAAGTATATTCAGAAGCCGTCTAAAGAAATAAAATAATGATAAAAACAATTGGATTTTTTTTGCTTCTGTTAATTTAAAATAATTAATTAAAACAATTTACTAATCTAATTAATTACGTTTTTAATAAGCTATAAAGAATTATAGTATTTTTGGTAAAATCAGTTTCAGTATTTCTAGTTTTTTATTTACAAAATATTCATATTAAGTTTGGTCTAACAGACCATTGAAAATATTATTAATGATTATTTGATCAAAAGGATATTCTAAAATGTATGACATCACTGAGGTCGTTACTCCAATTATATTATAATTATAATTCTATATCGGAGTGTATTAATATTTGAGTGTGAGGCGGTGGTGGAATTTGGAAATGAACTTTTACTATTTTCAGTGTTACATGGGCTGGTAATGGAACAAGTATAAGGAAGTAAATTAAAATTACTTGTTAAAAAATAATATGAAATAAATAACAGCCAATTAAAATGAAGTGAAGACTAGAAAGAACAGAATGATAACAGTAACACGAGTGATGTGCTCCCATAAAAGGAAAGTAATACTATGAAAGCGTTGAAATAGAACATTTGAAACAAGGTATTCGTTTGGGTTCTGGGATGAATTTTCAATTTATATTTGTCTATAAAGATTATGTTATAAAAATAAAAAATAAATGCAAAAGTCCCAATTTTTTCTGGTACAAATTTGCAAAGATAATAAAGTGGTAATAATAAATATAGATAATAAAGATAAAGTGGTGGGTATGGAGATATGTCACAAGAGTGGAGATATAGATAAAAATGTATTTTATAAGCATTTATAAATGTGAATTTATTAAGCAGGGTTGAGAAAGTTTTGACAGTATCGGCACCCATACAAGTTATGCTGGAGTCTCAGATCACAGCACTCAGAACCTCCCACCTAGCTTCCAGACGCACATTTATTTCAAGATTTTTGCTAAACATGAACATATTTTTGTTATTTAAAAAGTGCAATCTGAGTCTTATATACGTCCTTTGTCACTTGAGGTCTATAAGAGTTCAAATCAGTGATTTTTTTTTTCCATGTAATTACCCTATTTGAATATTGACTATGTTTTAGCTTGTTGTGGATATCTTGGAATATTACTAAGTTTGTGAAATGTTTAAATTAATTTGTTTAAAGGTAAATGTAATATACAGTTTAAGAGATAAGTTCAACATAAATGTGAACTAATGAAAGCTTTAGTCCTGACGAAACTTTGCAAATGAGTCTAATCGTTAGCAAATTTATTCTTCTATTGATTTTTTTTTTCTCTGTACAGCCAATTAGTTATTCATGAAAATCTTTAAAAAAATTCCTGGTAGTGTATATAACACCAGTAATGGACATACAGGTTTTGGGATCAACAGGTTTTTTATATAATTAAAAAACCCATAGATAAATTCTGCACAACTAATAAATAATTAAACTAAGGAATGGCAAATAGCAATGAGTGAATGAAAATTTCAAACTTATCTCTTAAAGAAAAGTGATAAGGAAACCTCCCTGAAACAAAGACCTCACAATCGGCTATTGTGGTCATGATATCACTTGAGGTTCAGGCATCACCCTCCAGTGTTTTGCAATCTACAAATCAGGTTATATTTGCATTCTTTGAGGCGTATAAAGCTTGCTTGTTGATGAGTTGAAAACTGTCTATTACTAACACAGTGTCAATTATTGGTACACTTACCTTATATGGAATATAATATTTTATTATCTGTTTTTAGATTTTATAATATTGTTTTGACTTGTTGTTTAAATAAGTTCAAGCTAAATAAATAAATATTGTATAGATATAGGTATTAAATAAATAGCTAATATTTTTCCTGAAGAATATTTAAATATTTTGTATTTCTTGAGTAAGCATAAAAGTTCATCTGTAGCAATAAATTTATCAAAAATAATCAAATTTTAGAATGTAAAATTAGTATCACGAGATATTAAATTGTAAAATCCATAAAAATTGTTCTTATTCACTAATGTAATTACTGATTACCATAATTTTATGATTTAAAATTTCTTTCATTAATGTGATTTTAAGATTGCAAAGAGCTATTATATCTTTTCTAATTTTGATACTAATATTGCTTTGTATGATACGTTCTAATGATACAATATATTTCTAATTATTTAATTTTTAATCCTTGATCTCATTAATTTCTTGTTATATCTGTAAGTATGAGTCATGAGAGTCTGGGAAAGTCAAATTTAATTCGATATAAACATCTGAATTTTCGCATATTAAAATTGAAATAACTTTTAAAAAATAAATTCAATGCATAAAATAAACTAAATGATGGTGTTCATAAAATTGGTTTAAATAAAAGGCTACTGTTTAAATAAAAATTTGGACTTACTATTTAAGTTTTCAAAACCACAACAAACATGGTTAATTATTGTTGTTTTGAGATTCAGATTTTTTTAATTATGTGTTATGTTGTTACCAGTTTACGATGTGTTACAAAATGTTGGAAATTGATTAAGCTGTATTTAATGTTTCTGTTTTTTGTTTCATTTTATTGTATTTGTTTTATATCTAATGATTTAAAGTTACTGTTGAATTGTTTTAATTGTTTTAAACTTTTTATTAATTTGTTAATAGATACTAATTATTAAATCATTTAAATTTCTAGATTAAAAAAATATAAGACTGCTATGATGACTGGTTTTGTAGTTTTTTTGTTGTTATAATCATCCATCGTTAATTTATTATTTAATTAAATCCTTATATGTGAAATACCTGTTACAGCTATATTTATTAATTATTTTTTAAGTACGCAAAACTCCCTGACCAACTCCTTCTCATAACAGTAAAATCAAGTAATTACTACTAAAAGATCAATTAATCATCATCTTGTTGTTTAAATAAGTTCAAGCTAAATAAATAAATATTGTATAGATATAGGTATTAAATAAATAGCTAATACTTTTCCTGAAGAATATTTAAATATTTAGTATTTCTTGAGTAAGCATAAAAATTGATCTGTAGCAATAAATTTATCAAAAATAATCAAATTTATTTTATAAAGTGTGTTTAACAAAATTTATTATAAGAAGTAAAAACGTTTTATTTTTATTTGGAGGTTGTTCAAACTAAGAAATCGAAAGTATTTTTTAGTTTTTAACACTTCATTTTTAGCTGAAAAAGTTTTAGAAATGTAAAAATGTCATCGAGGCAGCCTCCCTTCCTCTCATGTTTAATTTATACAAATTGTAATATATCCATTTTTTTTTTCAGATATTTTCAAGTATATTCTAAAGCACTGTTATAAAAATCCTACAACTGTCTAAACATATATATACATTTATATTTAAATATACAATATTATATTTGTAAGTTTTTTATATATGTATATTAGGCCAAAGGACACCAAATGTCCACAGTTTTTATATCCTGTATTCTTTATTCTAGTAGAATACAGGATATAAAAAACCGTGTAAATTTGGTGTCCTTTGGCCTAAAATATATATAAAAAAACTTATGAGAAAATGGCACCAAACCTGAACGATGTGACTAGAAAATATTATATTTGTTCCTTTTACAATAATTATGTTGAATTTGTACACATAATATAAATTAATCTATCTTAATATATCTTTTTGTCCTTCACTCTCCCAAATAAAATAGAAAGTCTGCTCCTATGGTTTCGTACCACTTTTTGTTTTTGAGCTGGTCTGTTCACAAACTATTTTCTGATATTTTATTTTTATTTTATTTTCCTCCCTACCCTGCCTTTAAGACAATACGGGAGTTTGCAGCAGTTCTGATATTTGGGTATCTGGACTTAAAAGATCTCAAAAGGTGTATTTTTCCGTAGAAAATACAGATTCGTAAATTTTCACGAATGCAATACTTCCCATTACTATATATTACATATATAAGTGTAAGTGAAATTACATGTAAGTGAAAGTAAAAATAATTGCACCGTTGGATTCGTTGAGTGTTTTTAAATGGGAATACTTATCTTAATAGGAAAATACGACAGTTTTCTTAATTTCTATAAAAATCGATTAGGGTTCACTTTGGAAATAAGCGACTCATTTGTTCGACTATGCTGTGTTGGCGGACAGTCTTTTGTTCCTTCCTGCAAGGTGATGTTCATCCTTGCACACCAAACCTAATCAAAGGTACATTAAAATTGCTGGAGATAGCAGGATACAATCGATTGTGAATGGGATATCGATAATCCGGTGCGACCTAGAGGACTACTCTGGATGCCAGGGGGGACCCGCGGAAGTCATGGGATCACGTAGCGGCGGCTTCCGCCGGGAGCAGCGGCATACTGACGACTTAACCTTTCACGGCCGGCTTCATCTAGTAGCATTTCAATTGTACCAACCTCTTTGCTACTCCACTTCACCTTTCTCAAGGCGGACAATTCGCTACGGAATTGTTTTTGTGAAGTTATTTTTATATAATCTTTCATCACTACAATAACTGTCAGCTACTAGCTAACTTAATGAACATACTGGTATGTCTAAACATATTTGGTTATTTTATTTTCTTCGTTCAATCTATCCTGGATGACTTATTTATTGTCTTATTTTCTTCGGAAATAATGGTCATTTGCGTTCATTCAGAGGAAGGCGACGTTGCATTTTCTATCCTTTTTTTTCCTGTGTCCACCTCTTCCTCGCCTTTTAGGCTATACGGATGTTTTCACGGGCCAGAGGAGTGGGCAGGGGAATAATACCGGAGTTAATTAATATATTAAGGATGATGGATAATATACGTAATTATAAATATAATCCTAAAAATCTCATAGAAATATTTGCTTTATACCTACCATTCATATTATTTATAATTTTAATATAAGTTTATTCATAGGATTAATAATTTTATCTAAATATCATGTAACTTCCACATTTGTCTATATCCTTTTGAATCTCGTTCGTTTTCGCCTTGTAGAAGACTTGCTAAGTTGGATCGAAACGTTGACTTGAAACAAAATATTTTGTTTACTGTTTTAGTCTTTTTATGACCGCCACCCCGGACCTTCTTCTTCCTCAATAATATA